AAGATCTTATCAAAACACCACAGCCCCATTCAGTTTTAAGAATGTAAGATTTTCCCTACCTTGTTATACTTCTACTAAGCCTTTGAAAGCAAAGCCTTCCTCTTTCAACAGAGCAGCTGGGGTGGGTCATCTATGACAGGATGGGGACGACAACAGAACCCTCGCTCCCAGCTGCCAGTAACTTCCAGCTACACTTGTTCTGGGCTCCTTCGTGTTATTTACCTTCTCTGCCCATCGTCTGTGGGTGTTAGGGGAACCCAAATGCTATTAGCCCAATTCCACAGATATTTAACCCATTTTCTCCTCACCCCACTCCTCCTGTGCCGGACACAAAAGAATGTCTATGCCTGGCCGGGCGTGGTGGCTCATGCCTATAATCCTAGCACTCTGGGAGACCGAGGTGGGCGGATTGCTCGAGGTCAGGAGTTCGAAACCAGCCTGAACAAGAGTGAGACCCCGTCTCTACTAAAAATAGAAAGAAATTAATTGGCCAACTAAAAATATATAGGAAAAATTAGCCGGGCATGGTGGTGCATGCCTGTAGTCCCAGCTACTCGACAGGCTGAGGCAGAAGGATCACTTGAGCCCAGGAGTTTGAGGTTGCTGTGAGCTAGGCTGACGCCGCGGCACTCTAGCCTGGGCAACACAGTGAGACTCTGTCTCAAAAAAAAAAAAAAAAGAATGTCTATGTCTGGGCCAGCCTCCCTCTTCCTTGACAGACTATACTGCTCTGTCACATAAGAGTCTAAGTAGCTTGTCACCCAGTGGAGGAGATAAAAATTATGCCGTGGTTATTACAACCCATGGTTTTACAGCCTTTACTGGCAATATCCCTATGTTCTACAAAATGGGGAGGTGGCTCACTGAAGACAACCCTACTGTGGTAACACTAGGGGAGGAACTCAGGAATTTCCCTATAATTCTTCTCACTAAAAATGTGGAAGTAGTGGTTTTAGATCATTTAGTTTCCCAGCTTTAGGAAGAAAAATTTTCTCTCTCTCTCACATGCACACACTCACACCCTCCTCTATAGGAAGAAATATTTTAAATTAGTAAACACTGACATAAAGTTGTAATTATGTCCTAAATAACTGTTAATTTGCTTGAGATCATTGTTCCTCAGTACTTTTTAGAGCACAGAGATTATGACTTTTTTTTTTTTTTTGGAGACAGAGTCTCGCTTTGTTGCCCAGGCTAGAGTGAGTGCCGTGGCGTCAGCCTAGCTCACAGCAACCTCAAACTCCTGGGCTCAAGCAATCCTCCTGCCTCAGCCTCCCGAGTAGCTTGGGACTACAGGCATGTGCCACCATGCCCAGCTAATTTTTTTTCTATATATGTTAGTTGTCCAATTAACTTCTTTCTATTTATAGTAGAGACGGGGTCTCGCTCTTGCTCAGGCTTTTTTCGAGATTATGACTTTTTAAAGTCATACACACCATAGAGTTGATCTACTGAACTGTAAGGTTCATCTTCATGAAGTTAAACTATGCCTCACACCTCTGTCCAATAACAGCTCTCATTTATTTGGCACTTATACCAGGCACTGCACTGAGCAATGCATACACATCATTTTATCCTCACAACTGCCCTGCGAGTTAGATACCACTGTTTTCCCAGCTTTACAAATGAGACTGATGATTTAAAAGACAGAGTAACCCCCTCAGATCACATATCTTATAAGTGGCAGGACTGGGATTTGAACACTGGATTCTAGTTTTCAGCCTCTCCCCTATCCCTGTAGTGTTCAATGATTCCAGAGATTCTGAGATAAAAACTTCTACAATAGGTCTGGACAAAGTGTGGGAGTGTGAGTGGGTGTATATGCATGCATTTCTTGACTTTCTTCAATTTGATTTCATGCTTCTGTGTTAAAAGGCAATTGCAATGCAATGAAGGTCACTACCAAGAGGCCCATCTGAACAGGTATGCCACTCTAAGGTATTAATTATTATCTACAGCTTTTAATACAAATGGGCATTCTGACACCTACACAGTGACCTGCACAGTGACCTGGAAGCTTTTCTCTGAGGACTCTGGATGGTAGAGAGAGAGATAGATTTGAGTCAGGGAAGAGCTGTTTCTTGCGGTGTTAGGATGTAGTTCCCAATATGAACTGTCAAGAGCAATTCTAGCTGTATGCCTTTTAGATCTAAAAACATAACTCCAGGTATTTATTAGCACTAATAGAATATATTTTAATCTCATTGACATTTAAATTTTCTTTTTTTTTTTTCCCTTTCTAGGCAGTCCTGAGTCAGTCATTAACATTTAAATAGAATGAATGTGATAGTCACTGCAGAACAAAACTACATATAAACTTACTGTTCTAATAAAACAGGCTGAGCAATATGGTAAAAGGCACCAACATGCACATTCCCCGATTGTTATTCACGGTCAGATTCTGAAAGAGTGACACAGACTTACCTTTTCTTTAAATTCTGCTTCGTCCCATGTCTGAAGGCTTAAAATGGATTCATCCATCATTTTTTCTTTGTACATGTTTATTTGTTCTTTTTCAATTACATCAGCATTACTAGTCAAAAGAAAGCACTTGCTACCTTTCGCTCTTCCTCTACCTATCAGAAAATAAATATTTCATTTGGTGTTTTTGATTTAAAACTCTGATACAATCTGAGAATAGGTAAACAAAGGGATAGAGGTATTCCTAAAATTCAGCTTTGGTTCACTAAATCCCACTTTCTAGGGAAGCTGAGCTGTTAAAGAATGGGTTCAAATGCAGGTGTGCACCTGCCCATTAAACACGTGGATAAACTAGGAGCCCACCTTAGGCCGGCTTTCTCAGGTCCCCAGCAGTGCAGTGTGACTGGACAGCCACATTATCAGAAACATTACTTTAAGATAATCCAACATGAGCCCTCAGTATGACAGTGTGATGGCTCTGAGATGGATAATAAATAGACCCTCCTAAAGAGTCTTCTAAGCAATGGGGAAATACGGTGTGTTCACAACCAGCAGAACACAGGTGGAAAATTTTAAGTGCTGTTACAAAGATAGTAGGATAATGACTAAAGGGGGAAAATGAGAAATAAAGTTGGAAGGACATGCGGGTGCTGGATTTTGAAAACTATTTAACATCAAGTAAATTGGGGAGCCACTGGAGTTTCCATACAGGGAAGTAGAAGGCTCAGAGCTTTTTTTCAGGAAGAATAATGTGGCAACTGTTCTTACAGAAATTGGAAAAAGGAAAGGAAAAAGGAGAGAAGACTAGTTAGGAGACTGGTCTAGTCCAGATGGGGCAGAACAACTCTGGAATGTCACTTCTGGAACACAGGGAGCCCACCAGCCCCCAGGCATGACCATCAAAGGTCCGCACATGGGCAAAGCCTCAATTCAAGTTTGAATTATCCTTCCATAAATATGTCAGTCAACATTGGGCAAATACGCAGTATCATTGTGAACAAGAATGAAAATAGGGTACATGTGAGTGGACAAAACTGTAACCACCCAAGCCTAAGTAAACCATCTTTAGGGCCAGCACACCAGAGTGCACTATGCCACTGGTCACAAACTCAACCATGGCTCAGTAAAGGAGAACAGCCAGGATGACAGACACACTCACAAATCAGACAAAACAGAAGCCAGGCAGAAATGGCATCAAAGGTGCTCTCACCTCTGGTTTGGATCATTTTGATGACATTGCCCACGTACTCATACAGGATGACAAGATTGCACTGCGCAATGTCGATGCCTTCATCAGCAACAGAGGTGGCGATCAGAATGTTGTTATCTCCACTGGTTCTGAATGCATCCAGTATGCACTTCTGTGCTGGGAGGGTCATTCCTGGGTCAGAGTAAGAGGGTATAATACAACTCACCAAAGAGGGAACTTTCACCTTGAAAAAATAGCTATTAATGATTAAATGCTTACTATATGCCAGGGAGTATCTCTATGATATCCATGATCTCACAACACCCCTAAGGCCTGTTTTAGAGAGGACGTTTAGGGTGGCATCTAACAGCTTGGACTGTGCCACAAGACTGCCTGAGTTCAAATCCCAGGTCTGGCACTTACTAATTGTGTGGCTTTAGCTTTATTATCCCCCCAAAAAACATTAACTCTTTTACAAAAATATCAATAGCTATTTGGAACACCTTTACATGTGTACAAAAGTCTATAGCTGACAAAACATTTTCACAACTGCTCATTCATGGAGCTTCACAAAGCCCTTTTAAAGGGGCAATGGGCCAAGTGTTGTGATTCCCATTTATAAATGACAGCCTTGAGGTTCCAGAAGTACAGCAAACTGACAGGCTAGCCATCAGCAGAGTTCGGCCTTGGACTAACATTGTGCACTATTGGGTTGTCTTGCATACAAACACACACCTACAAACCTTTCTCTAAGACTCATTCCCTACTGTACCCACAGGGGTGATACCCTGGGAAGCTGCAGTTGTATTCTGTTCCTCTACAAAAGAAACAATGCTATCTGTTCACCAAACCCTGTTTCTTTCTCTACTGCTGGGCACACAGCTACATACTTACTGTTCTAAAGCTAAAGTGCACTTCCCAACCTCCCTGGCATCGAAGTTAGGTGAGACCTTGTGACTAAGTTCTCACTAATGGGATGCAGATAGAAGTAACGCATGTCTCCTCTAAACCTGACCCCTAAGCATTGTCCGTGCTCTTGTTACTCGTCATCAGTGGACTAGATAAGGTCACAGTGAAGGATCTGGAGATCCCCCTGGAATGACAGAGCCATAAGAAGGAAGCAGCCTGGGTTCCTGAGTAGAGGTGGGTGGAGCAGACCCCCCTTCCTCCAGCTATCTATGCTTGGACTGGCAATACAAGTGAGAAATAACTCTTCCTGTGTTACGCCCCTGAGATAGTGGGGTTGTCTGTCAAAGCGACTAGATTACCCTGATTTGTACAGAGCCTGTGACCCTGGCTGCAGTTATAGAATTGAATAAGCATGTGAACCATGTTGGGCCAGTCAGATTCTCCCTCTTGGAACCTGAAGTTGGGCTTGGGAGACAGGTAGTAAACTGGGAAGGTGTGGGGCAGTCCTGAATGGAGAAGCAGAGAGTGCAGTCTATAAAGGGAAAAGAATAAAGCAGATATGTGGGATTCAGAAGACTTTCCAGTCCCAATTACAATTGTCCATGAAGCCCAAGTGCACTTCCCGATTGTGGGCTCTACGGCAAACCTGATTATCCTTGCAGCCAGCCCCACTTTGCTTAGACTAGCCTCAGTGGGCTTCCACTATTGGGGGAAAGAAAGGATCTTGACTATGACAGCCACATGCTGCTTTCTAATATCCAATGATCTCGGAGGCTAAATTTAAATTGTCTGAATACAGAGTGAAGGGGTGATAATCACCCCATCTGTGTGATCATGGCAAACACCCAAAATGGTGACTCAAAGAATATGCACACTAAAGTTCAAACTTTATGGGTCCCAAAGACCCATCTACACTTATGTTATTAGTTGAACCACCTTCTGATCTCCGTGCATTGTTCACAGAGCAGACTCACCTCAAGCAGGTAGAGGAAGGTAATATGTATTCCCTTCCTTTACCTGGATGGCAGTGGGCTCTCAGAGTTTATAGAAAGATCCTTTGTGGTTTTTGAATTATTCATAATTCAAAGTCATAAAAATTCAAGTGCAGTTTTATTTTTAGAAAGTTGTTTTAAAATAAATCAATCCCTAAATATTATTTTAATTTTACTTTTAATTTTCTTTATCCAGAATATTCTTTTAAGATATGGACCTTCTATTCCTTTTGAATCCATGTAGTCTCAGTAAAATCAAAACCAACATTGGGGACTACTACATATAAGGTCTGTAGGTGAATAACAGCTAGTATTTAAACACACTGAGCACTCACCATGTGCCAGGCTTTGTTCTAAACCAGGAGTTGGCAAACTTTTTCTGTAAAGGGCCGGATGGATAGTAAATGTTTTAGGCCTTGTGGGCCATACTGCAGTAACTACGCAACACTGCCACCATGGTGTGAAAACAGCCACAGACAACACATGAACAATTGAGCATGACTGTGTTCCAAAAAACATATTTTTTATGAACACAAATTTGAATTTCATATACCTTTCACATATCATGAAATAGTCTTTTGATTTTTTTTTTAACCATTTAAAAATATAAAAATCATTCTTAGCTCAAGAATCATTGACGGCAGGCAGTGAGCCAGATTTTGCTATTTCCAGTGTGATGAGCAAGAAAGGCTGCTGTGGGAATGTGGAGGAAGGATACCTCTACCAGCTTTTGGAGGGTGGGGAAGGCTGCTTGGCAGGAGCACAATGCCTGGCACAGAGTAAGTTCTAAACAGATGCTGTGGAATGGATGGAGGAATAAATGAACAAACAAATAAGAAAATATTTTCTAAGTGCCTATTTGTGGGGGAATAACAAAGTCCGAAAATCAAGTTGGACTCATGCTGGCGTCAGACTGCAGAGAACTTTGAATTCCAGCACAAGATTGTGGTGTTGGACTTCATTTGGTAAGCCACTTTTAAAGATCTAAATCTACTTTTCATATTTAGGAAGTTTAAAAATTGCATGAAGGAGAAGTCCAAGAGTGATGACTGAAGACAGGCAGAGTGAGGATGCGGGCAGGGGTTGCTTATTATAAACAACACTAAATAAGAAGACCGAGGACCTGTCACAGTGCCAGTCACTGAGAACCTCTGGAGGAGGGTTGGCCACCTAAGATCCTCCCAGATAGAGAAGCAGCCTTTCATCTTTTGACCACCCTGGCAAGATTTCAGGATCATCTATTTAGACTTTTTAATTGTAAAATACATAATATACACAAAAGCTACTATCTACAGTTTAAAGAATAACAAAATAGAAACAGAACATTTCCATTTTTCAATTAATCTATTGGTTGAGAATTTGAACAGGAGAGTGATGTTATCAAATCAGATTTAAAAAAACAACTTTGGCTTTATCTGCAGGACCTATGAGAGGCGGCTATGTCTCCAAGCAATGAGACTAGAGTGGTTTTTGCTATTTGAGCATTGTGATGGACTTTTGATGTGTTAACTTGGCTAGACCGAACTGTGTAACAGTTCCTAGTTATTCATCTAGGTGCTGCTATGAAGGCATTTTTGCAGATTTGATTAAATTCCCTAATCAGTTGACTTTAAATTAAATTAAAATTGAGTTCATTCTACATGGGCCTGACTTAATCAGTGAACTTTTTGAAAGATGGCTTAGGCCTTCCCTGAACTCAGGGATTCCAAATACCTCATACCTGTGGTGTCCCTGTTCCTGATCTTCCCCTTCCTGACTACCTGCCCTACAGACTTCAGACTTATTTTGCCAGCCCAATTGTGTAAGCCAATTCCTTGTAAGAAATGTGTGTGTATAATCTTCTACTTGTTTTGCTTCTCTGGTTGAACTGATACAAGCATTAAAAAGAATTTGAATATATATATATATTCTTATATATACAATATTACTAAATCAAATTCACTATATATAAATACCTATGTCCTGATTTGTTCTGCAACGTCCAGTCAATATGCCAGGTTTTAGAAAGCTGAGTTTAGAATTTCCTTCAATCCATTTCTTTAAAGCCTGAAAATGAAAAACAATTATCAATTGGACGCTACTCATAAACCATTTGTATTCATTCAATGTTGAAATATATGCAAAAAAAATGAAAAAAAAAGAAAACACCTCAAAGTCAGTACATTTACAGTTTTCAGCCTTACAAACCTGAGAAAAAAAGCTTCTTGGAATTGAACTCTATGCAATAATTAACTATAATTGTATAGAGATTTTTGTCACTTGATATAGTTTAATCTCTAAGATATTTTTAAGTGAAAAAAGCAAAGTTCAGAATAGTGGATGTACAGAACAAATGAGTTCAGCAAGAGTGCAGGACATAAGATCAACATACATAAATCAGTTGTATTTCTACTACTAGCAATGAATAATTGAAATTTTAAAAGTTTTTAAAGTGCCATTTACAATAGCATAAAAAATTAATACCTAGGTATATGTCTAACAAAAATATGTGCAGAATCTGTATGCTGAACATGACAAAACACTGGTAAAAGAAACCAAAGAAAGATGTGGTTGGTAGCCTCTAAGCCCTCCATGATCTCTGCTTCCTGTATTCAGAGCCTGTGTAATTCCCTCCTGTGGTGTGAACAAGACTTATTATCTTGCTTCTAGTGGAAAAAAAAAAAAAAATACAACAGATGTGATGGGACTTCACTTTCAAGATGAAGTTGTAAAATGACTGTGGCTTCCACATTAGACATTCTCTCTCAATCTTTGGGATCACTCACTCTTGGGGAACCCAGCTGCTGGGCTGTGAGGCAGCCCTGTGGAGAGGCCCACATGTGCACACTCAGATGCACTTCCACCAGCAGCCATGTTGGGTGAGCTTGGAAGCCTTGCGATGACTGTAGCTGTGGCCAACACCTTCACTGCAGCCTCATGAGAGACCTTCAGCCTGAAACACCCAGTTGTTTCCAGATTCCTGGCCCATAGATATTATAAGATAATAAATGCTTGTTGTTTCCAGACATGAAGTTCTGGGGTAATTTGTTCCTTAGCAATAGATAACTAATGAAGAGAGATACTATGGTCATGGATTAGAAGACTCAATATTGTTAAGATATCATTTCTCCCCAATGTTATCTATACATTCAATAAAACCCCAGCATAATTTTTCATAGATGTGGACAAGCTGATTCTAAAATGTATCTGGAAAGGCAAAAGAACACAGCTAAAAACAACTTTAAAAAGTTGGAGAACTCATACTGCCCCATTTCAAGGCTTACTATAAAGCTACAGTAATCAAGACAGTGTGGGATGGGTGAAAAGATACATGTATAAATCAATGGAACAGAATAAAGAATCCAGAAATAGATCCATGCAAATATAGTCAACTGATATTTTTTAAAGTTACAAAGGCAATTCAATGGAGAAAGGACAGTCATGTCAACATACAGTGCTAGAACAATTGGCTGTCCATATACAAAAAGGAAAAGAAAAAAAAAGCATCTCAACCCATACCTTATACCTTATACAAAAATTAATTCAAAATTGTTTGTAGACATAAATATAAAACTAGAAAACTTCCAGGTGATAACAGAGAAAATTCTTGTGACCTTGAGTAATCAAAGAGTTTTTAGAAATAATACCATAGGCAAAAATCCATAAAAGAAAAAATGATAAAATGAACCATCAAAATATAAAACTTACAATCTGCAAAAGATACTGTTAAGAGAATGAAAAGACAAGCCACAAACCAGAAGAAAATATTTGCAAAATACATTTCTGACAGAGGACTTTTTTGTCAGAATATAAAAAGAACTCTCTAAAACTCAACTATAATATGGTAAACCAATTTTAAAATAGGCAAAAGATCTGAACAGACACTTCACCAGAGCAGGCATCGATAGCTACGAAGTATATGAAAGATGCTCAGCCATGGCAATCATTAGTGAAATGCAAACTAAAACCCTAGTGAGAGAGACATCATTACCCACAGAATGGCTAAAATTTAAAAATTTGAAAAAAAAGTACATAAAAGGACAAAGTAGGCAGGGCGCAGTGGCTCACGTCTGTAACCCTAGCACTCTGGGAGGCTTGAGGCGGTGATTGCCGAGTCAGGAGTTCGAAACCAGCCTGAGCAAGAGTGAGACCCTGTCTCTACTATAAATAGAAAGAATTAATTGGCCAACAAATAATATATATAGAAAAATTAGCCAGGCATGTGGTGCATGTCTGTAGTCCAACTACTCGGGAGGCTGAGCAGGAGGATTGCTTGAGCCCAGGAGTTTGAGGTTGCTGTGAGCTAGGCAGACACCATGGCACTCACTCTAGCTTGGGCAACAAAGTGAGACTCTGTCTAAAAAGAAAAAAAAGAAAAAAAAGGACAAAGTACACGCTCTACAGGTATCAAGACTTAGACTTTAGGGTGATTAAGACAGTGAAGTATTAGTGTGAGAATAAACACAGATAATCAGAACAGAACAGAGAACCCACACATATATGGGTTCTCAATTGCAATGCAGTAAGAAAAGGGCAATCTTTTCGAAGAATGGTCTGGGAACAATTTGTTATCCACAAGGAGAAAGAAAGCTTACATCCACAAGCGCTCTGGTTTTCACAAAGAGAATGGTTCTTGTCCCTGGGTTTAAGTGATACTCTTCTTGTAAGACGAAGCAGAGGTCTTCAAGTTTAGGGTTCTCCTTGCTGGGATCCATGGAAACACTTTCTAGTTCCTGCAGCTTTTCTGCAAATGGGGAACATTTTACAAATGGCTTATAAGTTCTAAAATTTAGAACACACTGTGGCTTAAAGCTTTATAGTTTAGACAGTTAATCTCTCAATCTTTGACCAAGATTTTATCTACCAATTTAATTTGGTACAACCTTTTAGGAAGGTAATTGGGCAATATCTATCAAAACATAAACTCACACACCCTTTGATCCAATGATCTTATATCTAGGAATTTTGGACATAGCTATATTTAGAAAATTATGGGCAGATCTCAACGATATTCACTGTACTATTGTTTAGAATATAAAAGAAAAATAGAAAACAATCTAAGTGCCCAATAATAGGGAAACAATTCCATAGATCATGGGCTATTCATTTGACATTAATACAACCTGGCTGTTAAAATTAATAAGGAGCTATGTGCACGCTAATGTGGAAAGAGGCAAAGATATTTTAAGTTAAAAAAAGTCAAGCTATAGGACAGTGTATTTAGTGAGACCCCATCTTTAAAAATATATATAGTTATAAAATAGTGGTGTGCTAGAACCAGATACAAGGCTATGAAAGTCAATTATTAATTCAGGAATTGTGTGAGTTTTAAATACGTCATATTAAAAAATTCAATATAGGCGGGCGCTGTGGCTCACGCCTGTAATCCTAGCTCTTGGGAGGCCGAGGCGGGCGGATTGCTCAAGGTCAGGAGTTCAAAACCAGCCTGAGCAAGAGCGAGACCCCGTCTCTACTATAAATAAAGAAATTAATTGGCCAACTGATATATATATAAAAAATTAGCCGGGCATGGTGGCGCATGCCTGTAGTCCCAGCTACTGGGGAGGCTGAGGCAGAAGGATCACTCGAGCCCAGGAGTTTGAGGTTGCTGTGAGCTAGGCTGATGCCACGGCACTCACTCTAGCCTGGACAACAAAGCGAGACTCTGTCTCAACAAAAAAAAAAAAAAATTCAATTATATAAACTTGCAATGCAAGAACATATTGAAAACATATATAAATAGCCAAAACTAGTTTTCTAATTAGTTTATTACTTTTTACTATTATTATGCTCTTAAGGCTGTTTATACCTATTGCATCTGTATGGCAGAAATACTTTAGAATGATGTGTTACTGTTAAACTGTTTGAACATTAGTTAAATGACATATTGGTGGTGTAAAATTGACTGTAGTGGAAATACATACCATGAAAATAAGAAAACACTAAAACTCAGTGCTTAATTTATTGTTTTGTTGACAATCTAGACTTATGAAAGTGATAGAAAAAATAATGCAGATTAAATTTAGCTATTACATTGTGAATAGCATAAAAATGAGAAAATATTCTCCCAATTTTTAAAAAACTTGCATATAATTGAGCAAAAAAGCTGCTTACGTCATTGACAAATAAGTTCCAACATATATCTTTGTTGTTTCATTTTCATTTATTTATCACATTAATGAAAATATATACCATTTTCTGCCATTAATTTACAATCATAGATGAAAAAAATAGAAAAAAAAAGTATGAAAAAAAAAAAAGAAAAAGAAAATATATACCAGCATCCATACCAGAACTACACTTCTTTGTTAGGTGAAACTCTTGGCTAGCTATGGATACAAGAGTTCTGAAGAACCACCAAAAACATTCTATGAGAATCCTGGCTATATGGAATTTATAATATTTTTACTATTTAATATAAATTGTGTACTATATCCATCCTCTATATCAATAAAATTTATAATAAATGTATGTACATATATATGTATACATGATTTCCCCAGAAAGCTGATTGTTAAATGTTTACCAGCACACCACTGGTTATACATATTAGTATAGTAAATACTTTAAAACAGTCCTACCATCCATAAGATCTTCTTAAATCCAGAACAACTCCCTGAGCATCACCAAACTTATGTAGCCTAAAAACAACATGTTTGTATTGCCACTCCAGTCACCAGACTCTAATGGCTTCCTCTTCTGAAAACACTACACACCTTCAAATCTCCAAGTAAGATCTTGCTCAATCTCATCGAATCCTGCTGCTCGGACATTGCTGAAGAAGTCTTTCAAGTAATCTAGAGCATCTTTCATTCGTGCATGTTCATTGATAATGAGGGCATCGTTATATTTCTGTTTAAAATAAAAACTCAGTTTCAATATGCTTCCAACGTCTAATGCATTTGCTATCCTTAAATACAGTCAATTAGCTGTACTTAAGGAATTCATTTTAAGAAAACTCTCCTCAAAATGATTCCAATTTAGTTTTTTAAGATGAATGGCCCCTAATGATTCTGTGTTAAAATTTTTGAACTAAATACTCTTTTTTTAAAAAAAATCTCAATTAGATAGAAAACTTAATTACTTAGAATCACTCTGGATTTTAGAATTCTACCTTGGAAAAGAAAAACTATATGAAAAACACATCAAATATTTAAAAACAATAACGAAAGCAAATCAACTTCCACATCAACCTGCCTCATAACTCAGATATTCAACTTAATTTTTTTATACTTCTGAAACCATCACTAAGTCATAAATGTACCTTTCAAAACGATGGTCCTGACCCACCTACACCAAATAGTCAATTAAGCTAATTAAAATTATACCAATGCATTTTAAAGTATTTTCAATGGCATGATAAGCAGAGATGATGGCTGTTACTATTGTTCCTTAACTTCTTGGTTAACCAAGGAAGCTGGATTTCTCAGCATGTGCCTTTATCAAAGGTAAGAAAACATATGCTTCAGGAAATAGCAACGGGACCCAATGATTGAACTTTAAAGATGGCCATCACTGGTCAGATATCAATAATGCTCTCTCATCATCACCCAATTTTTTCCAGCCCTGTCAATTATAGGAATGCTGGAGGCATGGCAGGGAATCTGAGCCTTTGCTGCAGTCCTGTTGCTTCCAGTGTTGTTTCAGAAAGCAAACTGAAATGACGCTGAATGAGACAACTTTTGGAGTTTGCTTCATAAGAACTTTCTGGAAAGGTTCCTAACTGAGCTCCTGGGGACAGGATGAGCAGTTGATGTTGTCTCCCCTGCCACTCCCAGTAGGTGCTATGACTCCAATACGCCTTTCAGAAGAAGAAACATACCCGCAGATGTGAAGTATACAAAAACAGCGCTTTACAGATCCTGCTTTCTTCATTTTTGTCTGGCATCCGAAACACCATGCACGCTTTCTGAACTTGAACAATCCACTGTTCATATTTCTGAGTTCCAAATTCCCTATTTTGAATCTGAAATAATTTTCCTGGAAAACAAAAACGTTTTTGACTATGCGATATGGTCAGTCATTTAAGGTTCTAAATATGCTTCCCCCTCTAATTTTCTTTTTTACTCTCTATAAACATGGTATTCCTCCCAAAATTGTCTGTTTTAAGCAGTGTATCCGTGTATGTGTATGATCATTTCCTGAGTACTTACTATGTACCAAGAATCAAGGTGCCTTATATTCATAATCTCATTTAATTTTCACAACCTCATGAGGTACACATTACATTTTATAGATGAGGAAACTGAAGTTGAGAAAAGCTAAGTAATTTACCCAAAGTCATACAGCAAGTACATGGAGAGGGGGCAGGAGGAATGCAAACCCAGATGTGTCGGATGCCAAGCTCTACTGGCTCTATGAGTTGACGACAAAAACAGCCCAGAGGTGAAACAATGGATGTGAAAAAAACATAACTTTGCCTTTAAAAATGAAGCAGCAGTGAGTAAAAACAATGGGTCTCAAGAGCTTTATATCAGAGGAGAATATATAAAAGCAGGAGACTCGGGACTCAGCACAGCCTATTCAGCTTCGCTGTGAACCTGGCCATCTGCTCTCCAGAGCAGCGTTCAGAGGCAAACATAGAACAGGTGCTCCAAAGACACTTGTTATGGATGCATCTGTATGTGCGCATCTCCTAGGCTAAGCCTCTCTCATCTGGTTCCAAAACTGGAAAATCTGCTGCAGTCCAGGCTCTGTGCAGTGTGCTGGGGATAAAAGGATGGGGAGGGTGCAGCCCTGTTCTCAAGCAGCTTAGTCTGTGAGTTCGCTGGGGCACCCCAGGAAGAGCACAATACAATAATTTCACAGACAAGAGCTACATTTCTGGGTTTAATTTCTCCCCTCACCCATTCATTTTTAATAAAGGGACAAAGGAGGCCACCCAAACTAGCAGTAATGACATGCTTCTTTCCCAGGCCCAACTATTATACGACCAGGTGGCCAGCAGTAAAGAAGATGAACCAACAAGTATTTACTGAACTTGGATGGGTGTGAAAATAACCCAAGCAATTTGGAAACGAGCGGTTGACAGTACATGCACTGGCAGAAAAGGTGGAGGCAGGGTACATAAGGTGATAAGTCAGAAAGTAGAAACCCACGTGACTCCATCCTTCTGCCACCTCCCTAAGTTGGACCACGTCACTGTGTTCTTGAATAACATGATAACCTTCTAACTAATCTTCCTACTTCTTGTCTTGTTCCCTCCAATCCATTCCCCACCCAGCATCTAGAGAAACTTTCCAAAATTGCAGATGAAAAACTATGCTACCCCACAGCTTAAAAGCCATTAGTGGATTCCCTCAGCCAAATCCCTGTCCCAGCTCCCAGGCTCCTCCTGTGACCCAGCCTCTGCTGGTTTCTGATCCTCATCTCTAGCCAGTCCCCTCCCTGCTTTTCACAGGACTAATGGAAGTCTCCATGCCCGCTGTTGTCTCCTGGCTTTTGCGCATGCTGTTCCCCTCTGCCTGAAATATACCTTATCACCACTGCTACCCACCCCCAGCTGCTTTATTGTTATTTATCTAATTTTGGCTTCATGCTGTATTCCCACCACCTAACACATTTCCTAGCACTGACTAAATGAATGAACATGTTCAAGGAACTGCTAAATCGAAGGACTAAAGTAGGGAAGTAGAAGACAAAAATGAGAAAGATAAGTAGAAACAGATTGTTCATGCAGAGTTCAGACTGTCAGGTTAGAGAGTTTAAAGATTATCCTGTAGGCAATAAGTTTCAAGCAGGATATTGAAATGATAAAACTGAAATTCAAGACGACTAATCAGTTAATGGGGGGGTTAATGGGAGAGAAAGTGGATATGGACAAACCAGCCAGACGGTTGCTAGAATAGGCACTAAATTAAGCTGTGAACAACAAAAAAAGAGAAAAGCAAAGCAAAATAAGTGTGAGAGAAGGAGAAACACCATGAGGTGTCTTGCAGACATCACAAACCACATCTCTAAAACTCAAAGCTCACCTTATATCTGCTAAAGCTGTCCCGGGTCATAGAACCAGCACCACCCACTGGCATATACACAGGTGCCCAAGCTGAAGCCTGGGAGGAAGTCATTTCCTCCCTCCAGTTCTCACTCCCACCCAAATCCATTAGCAACTAGGTCCTAACACTCCCCATCGGAAGCCTCTCGCATGTGCCTCCTCCCTTCTCCAACCCATCTGCACTGCCTGTCTGGCCCTCTTCGTTCACTGGAATCATCCATCACTAATTAGTTTAAAATCTTCAGGTTTTTTTCCCATTGCTTTTAGGATAAAATTCAAACCCATGTTGGCCTACCAAGCCCTTCACCATCTGCCCTGGTCTCTCTAGTCTCAAACCCTTTCCACTGCTCGCAGGTTGGGACAATCGTAAAATGCTTGCAGCTCCTGCAACTCCCTGTGTTCCCCCTCCCTCTACACCTGCCGTCCTTTCGCCCTCACGTGCCTCTCCCCTTCTTAACGGGGCTGACATCAAGAGGTGTGCGTCTCAGGAATCAGCGTGCCCGAAGGCCTTCCCTGCAACCCAGTCCAGCCAAGGTTCCCAGAGCTCCCACAGTGCCCAGTGTGTGACTGCCTTGCCACATGGAAACTATTTTCATCGGATTCCCATTATTTGACTGAGTTCCCTGAGGGAAGGAACTATGTCTTTAAGTATTTCCATTACGTAGCACAGTATCTGGCACAATAAATGTATTGGTAAGTGAATAAAAAGGAGAACAGAGCTTGGTGACTGCGTGAGGGAGTGTCAAAAGGAAAAAAAAAAAAAAAATCAAAGGTCACCCATAGGTTTGAATCAGAGCCAGCAGGGGAATGGAGGTTTCATTCATTCAAACAGGGAAGTCAGGATGGAGAGCTGCTTTGGAAGCTCAAGAAAATGATGAACTGATTTAAACGTGGTAGTTTTCAGGTGTGAGTGTCCAGATGAATTTATTTTGGACTTAAAAAGAGAAAAGAAAGCAAGAGAGAACAAAGGAGGACTTAGAAGGCTCCTAAATAACCTATAAAGTCTTGACATAGTCTGAATTGAGGAGAATGCAAAAAGACACCAGTGAACAATTGTTAGCTATTCCCAAGTGGAGAGGATACAAATTATGAGACTTATCTCACCGAGGTGTCCATGGATATTCTTTGCCAGACTCTCTGTCTCCCTCATCAGCTGAGATATGATGAATTTAAATGGGTCCGTAGTCCGTGATTCCACTTTCCTGAAAACTAGACCCATGAAAGGAAAGTAAGTATTTTTCAGGAAGGACAGATCATAGTTCAAAGTAGCTATCTTCTGCCTTTGTTATTTCCTCTGGAAAACCTGAGGTCCCAAGCTCACTGGCAGGTGGTCTAATGATATTTACAAATGCTCAAAAACCCTGCAACAGCTCCCTATTGCTTCCTGCATTGATTCCAACATCTGTCTTTCGTGATCTAGTTCTAATCCAGCTTCTCACTCCATCTCTCCTGCTACGTCTGCTCTGACGAGGCTGGAATCCTTCTTGCCTCTGCAAGTGCCACACTGACCCGTCTCTGTGCTTTGATACTCTCCCCCTCCCCACCCAAGCCCCAGGAGTGATCACACTGATCCTACCATTTACTATCGTATTCTTTCAGCACAAACGTATTAAATGCCCACCACGTGCCATGTTCTGATTATAGACAGTTGAAAAGAACACACTCCACGCTCCGCTGAGGGCTGCATTCTTAGAGGAAAGACAGATGGCCAAATAGCCACAAAAGAATTTTGTAACATAAGTACACGAGTCATAAGGCACAGGGAAAAGAGTATCTCACTCTTCCAGAGGAGCCCGTGTTGTAAATACAGGAAGCAGAAGGAAGCACAAGCAGTCAGGTACAAAGGACACCATGGACAAAAGCTTAGAGAGAGAAAGCATGTGACACGTTTGAGGAGCCTGGGGTAGTACGACATTGCTGGGTTTATGGACTTGGGAGGAGATAAAGCTCAGAGGGACTGTGGAACTAGATTATAAAGAAATTCATATGTGATACTAAAAAGTTGAGATTGGGTGCCTTCTCTAACTCCTTACAGGAAGCCCCCTCAGAGGAACTTCACTGTGCCCCTATTTCATGTGTATTTTTTCTGCCTGCGGCTCACACAGTTGTGTGCTACTCAGAGAGCAAGGATGAAGTCATACGTATCTTCTGTACCCCTCTCTTCCTTGCACAATTATGATGTTAATAAACTTTCGCTAGTCAATATTATAGAAAAATCATATTCTGATCTTTTGAGTAGAACTATGATGAATTCAGATCATTCCATTCCAATATTCAGAGAATGACAACCACATAGGCACGCCACACGGGGAATGGCTAAGCCCAGCCATTGGCTATCTACACGCTCAGATTTTCTCATCACCTCTTTTGCATTGCTAGTACCTTTCTAAGAATTTTTTGAGACCAAAGAATAAGAATATTTGTTTTCTACAGACCACTTCTGAGGTTCAATCATTGCTTGGGGAGAGACGAGAGACGGGAGACGGGAGACGGGAGACGGGAGACGGGAGACGGGAGACGGGAGACGGGAGAGAGAGAGAGAGGGGGGGGGGAGGCTGGAAATATGACTATTTTCCAAGTTTGGGGTTATATATCCTCTACTAAATAGAGGTCAAAGTTCAGTGTTCACCTAGATGGCTCTGAACCAGGGGTAGCAGCGAGTAATGAAATCCCAAAGGGTTTGTTACTGGATCCCACTTACACTTTTGGGGTTTATAAACAACTTGCTCCAGTTCCTCCAAGTTCTCTTTGATTGTCGAGATCACTGATGCATCGAGAGCAGCACACAGCTTGCAGATATGCTCCATGGCTTCGTCTATGTTTTTGGCATCCCCAACGCCAACTGAGGCAGTCAGCCCAATGACCTGCAAAGGAACATTCCAAATCCTTAGCCATCTGAGAAACAGCATGACGTTGCCACAACTCCCCAGGTAACTCTTTCCTGCTGAAGTAGGGTTTTCGTTTTTGTGTTTAGTAACTTCAAATAAAGAGCAAGAACATTATTTTTTTTCTGACATCCTCTATGACATTGCTAAAAGAAAGGTCCCCATTAGGCAAAGCACTGAATAAATGCAGAAAGCAAAACTTGTTAGCATGGAAACCAGGACAGGAAACCCTTTCAAGGCAGGGCTTGTCCTCTCTTTACCCGTGTGTCCCTTACGATGTGGAGAACAACATGCTGAAAAGGAAAAGGACTTAAACCAGACACACTTCCATCCCAATTTTAGTCATGTCATGCTGGCTGTGCGTCCTTGGACAAGTATTTGCAGTTCTCTGTAAAGTTGGGAAACAGCTATTTAAAATGGTAGGTTGGCCGGGTGCGGTGGCTTACGCCTGTAATCCTAGCACTCTGGGAGGCTGAGGTGGGCGGATTGCTTGAGGTCAGGAGTTCATACCAGCCTGAGCAAGAGCGAGACCCCATCTCTACTAAAAATAGAAAGAAATTAATTGGACAACTAAAATATATAGAAAAATTAGCCAGGCATGGTGGTGCATGCCTGTAGTCCCAGCTACTCGGGAGGCTGAGGCAGGAGGATTGCTTGAGCCCAGGAGTCTGAGGTTGCTGTGAGTTAGGCTGATAGCACAGTACTCTAGCCTAGGCAACACAGTGAGACTCTGTCTCAAAAAAAAAAAAAAAAAAAAAATTTTAAAATTAAAAAAAAATACAATGGTAGGTGTGTAGATTCAGTAACATAACATTTGTAAAAAATTCAACTTAATGGGCCAGGTGCAGTGGCTCACGCCTGTAATCCTAGCACTCTGGGAGACCGAGGCGGGTGGATTGTTCGAGGTCATGAGTTCGAAACCAGCCTGAGCAAGAGCAAGACCCATCTCTACTATAAATAGAAATTAATTGGCCAACTAATATATATAGGAAAAAATTAGCCGGGCATGGTGGCGCATGCCTGTAGTCCCAGCTACTCGGGAGGCTGAGGCAGCAGGATTGCTTGAGCCCAGGAGTTTGAGGTTGCTGTGAGCTAGGCTGACGCCACGGCACTCACTCTAGCCTGGGCAACAAAGCAAGACTCTGCCTCAAAAAAAAAAAAAATTCAACTTAATGGTCATGTAATAAACATTCATTTCTTCTTCCAATAGCCACTCAATAGTTACTGAATAACTGATTAACCAGCAAGGAATCTAGTTAACCACCAATTTTATTCTAATAGAAAAAAGCTGTAAGAAATATAAATCTCTATGGAAGGGTACTTTCTTGTCTGTGGACATCATACTGAATTTCTCTTAACCTGAACTACCTAAATGGGTATTAGGGCTAGAGAACTTCATACAAATGTGCAAAGCAGTATATCACAAATTCATGGTTTCCAACCCTATTTAGGTCCCCAATATGACCAAAGAATTCTTCAGTGTATTCTCAGTTCTCCCTCCCATTTCAAATCCTCTCAAGATTCCTGCCCCATTCCTATATTGACTGGTTCTCAGCAAATGATCTACCTCCCCTACATTCAACAGAAAAGAGGTTATATACCAGGGATTCCCTTCCTTCCCCTTTTAACTCCATCTAAGAACTACTCTCTGAATTGACTCTTCTCACCTCCTTCTTGGAGGACACCAAAAAATGATGTTTGATTTTTCCGTTCCATTCTAATCCATCTGGCCTGCCTACTTATCCCACACCTCTGGTCTCTCTGAGCATCTTGCTTCATCAGTCACTCCCTCTCCCCCATCCTACCTCACCTAGTGCTGTCCCCTACCTCACACTCTACACTCAAGTCATACTGAAGAGCTTCAAGATTCTTGAGCACAACAGGTGCTTTCATACCTCTGTGCCTCTGGACACACAATATTTTCTTCCTGTTAGCATTTGCCTAACCTAACTTCTATTAGGTTTCCTCTTACTTTCATAGCACATTGACTTACGTTCCAACTGCACTTTGTACCCATCTCTATAGCATGCTATCTTGATAAATTGTGACATAATTCTTATATATCTGGCTTCCCATGAAACTTAAGCTGTTAGAGGGCAAGGACTATGTATTTTTACATTTGTAACCCCAGTGTCTAGCACAGTACCCGGGACATGGGGGCACATAATACATATTTGTTAAGTAAACAAACGAATGAATGAATCAAAAACAATGAGTAGTACAATACAGACTCAGAACCTGAGAAGGACATTTTCAATGTGGTCACAAGAATAAGTAAACAGGATTGAGGAAGATTATAGCTCTTCTGAAGAATCTGACTTAGGAGATACCTGGGGTAGTGGGTCTACAGATCCTCCCAGTTTCTGATCTAGATAATTGAACATGATCATATTATATGGGTGTTGTTTACTGGTGTTATGGCATTCATCAAATATCATCAAAGTAAAGACAGACAGTGATGGAATAGTTCCATTTTTAAGGTTGTTCACAAGAATCTGTGGCGTTAAAAAGATGATGTCATTGTTCTCAACAATCTGTTCCACTGGGACATTTTCAGCTGTTGCTCCAGAAATGCCTGTAACTCTGTACCTGGGAAATGACAAAAATTCCCTATTACCAACCACAGTGTGAATAAGGAACCATGAAGATAAAACACTGTATCAGAATTAAGGTTTCTTTAAGTCCAAAAGGAATAAATCTACAAGTCCTTAGCCCAGAGCCTGACAATAAGTGATCAATAAATGCAAACTAGTTATAATTTATACTAGTATATGTTAATTCTTTCAGGTCACTGAGAGAGAAAAGAGTATTTAAAAGAGTAATATCAAATAAGTTATAAAATCATTAAAAAAGTTAAATGTGTCATTTAAACATTATGTTTATCCCTTAAGTAATTTACTCACTGTACAAGAGCAAACCAAGGGAGTTTAGGATTTCTGGTATACCTAACAAAAAAGACTTGAATCCATGAAGGAATTATATCTAGATTATATAAAAGCTGAATTATACAATTTTTCAATCATGGCTTTTCAAAAACAAAAAAGAAATCAGTTATGTGAAACTAGAGAAAAAGAAGTTAAATCAACTGTTATACTTACCCAAGTCTTTCAAAATATTTTGAGAACACAGATTTCTGCTGTTCATACACTGGGATTTGATTAGCAAAAAAGACAACCTTCCCTTTTTGTCCCTGTGAAAATTTTTCAAGATGATGTTCACATATGAGAAGTGAAACAAAGGTTTTTCCACAACCTTTTAACATGTAAGGAAAAAAGAAAACATGTAACTAATATTGTATTAGATATTTCTTCAGAAACATTTATTTTTGGCTCTTCTAATACCACTTGGCTGACTAATAAATTAATTTAGTTGGGTCAACAATTACAGAATTTAGACTATGACTAAAAACCAACCAACCAACCAACCAACCAACCAAAAAATCAAGCTACTCCCTAGGTAACATGCAAACAAACAGCCAGGACCCCAAAGCAAGATAACAAAGGGCATTTTTCTTTCCCTTCCCATGTTCCTTACAATATGCTGACATTATATTAATAGGATAGTTTTCTCAAAAGACAAATAAAACAAGGGAAAAACTGACACTTGCCCATTCTGCCCCAGTATTTAAGGAAAAAAAAAAAGGACACAAACGGAGAAAAACTATATAAGTAACAGCAACTTGTCTACAGCCATATCACCCTGATATCTCCTCTGATCTCAGAAGCTAAGCAGGGTCAGGCCTGGTTAATACTTAGATGGGAGTAATGGCAACTGGCTTACCAGTAGGAGCACATATTATTGTGTTTTTTCCTTTCTTAGCGGGCAAAGCAAGCTCTAGCTGGTAATTTCTTGGTTTAAATCGGCTGTTCACATCAGTATAAGACACATCTATAACACAGAATGAACAAAATTACCAAATAGTTACTGCTCTGAGGAATCATGCCAATAGCTATAGTCCAATGGACACAAATTCCAGCTCTAGCAAGAAGGGCCTCATTGGAGAAAGTTTAGAATCCTCTCTCTTGTTAACCATTTAATTCCTCCACTATTATGAAGTACAGAATTCTCTCAATGACAGAGTATCAATGACAAGAAGAGAGAAAAGAAAAAAAGAAAGAATTCTTTCTTAAACAATCATGGACACCTAATAAGGAGAAACAAAAGCAAGAATGGCTCAACAGGGTAAGACAAGACATCCACCAGTTAAAGGCGACACTATATAGAACAAAACAACAAATCCTTCCAAGATCTTTGAAGAAAACCAACTATTAATGTTAGATTCTCAAAGCGATTTCTTTTTTTTTTTTTTTTTTTTTGAGACAGAGTCTCACTCTGTTGCCCAGGCTAGAGTGAGTGCCGTGGCGTCAGCCTAGCTCACAGCAACCTCAAACTCCCGGGCTCAAGCAATCCTGTTGCCTCAGCCTCCCGAGTAGCTGGGACTACAGACATGTGCCACCATGCCCGGCTAATTTTTTCTATATATATATATTAGTTGGCCAATTAATTTCTTTCTATTTATAGTAGAGACGGGGTCTCGCTCTTGCTCAGGCTGGTTTTGAACTCCTAACCTCGAGCAATCCGCCTGCCTCGGCCTCCCAGAGTGCTAGGATTACAGGCGTGAGCCACCACGCCCGGTCTCTTGTCAGAAAATTTAAAGCAACTTATATTTGTTGATTTTATTCTGGAATGACCAAAAAATCATATCATTTCAGTAGAGAAGCAATCTGTAAATTTTTTTTATGATGCTATACTAAAATCACATTTTTCTTCTAACACTACCCATTATTAATTCTAATTTTCTTCCTGATACCCTTTTATAAGTAACTTTTTATTATGGATGGCATATTTTGCAACTTTCTGGCCTCCTCATAAAAAACAGTGAGGAAAATATGCTTCGAGAAGCATAAGGAGGCCTCACAGGGCCAGAGCGAACTTACATAGTTGTCTTTGTGTCAATATGAAAAGGGCGCTCCTCTTGGGAGATACAACCAACCCTCAGATGCCATCTGGCAAACACCACGGGCCGGATGTCAGGCCCTACTCGACCTCTCAGCCAGGCACATTCATGCAGTTCACTAACTTCGTCAACTTGCATGGCAGCCCTGGTATCTTAAAAAGAAACTCAGCAAGTGGCTCTAAATAGAAGTATTTCTTTACAATACAAAGCTGATTTGGGATTTCATAGACATTGAGTTCCTAGAGGACTCTATCTGCATTTTCAATGTAGACAATTCATGTACCTTCTTAGTGGTAAAATAGGATTAAAAAAAAAAAAAGTTAGCAGAAACAGCAGCTACAAAAGGAAAGAATGGCATTTCTAATTATAGAAAAAGTATCTATTTTAAAATAAATTCTTTCTTTCTTAATTTTCCTCAAAAACCTTTTCATAAGGTTGTGACTTTTCGCCCTGCAAAACACGTCCCCACACAAAGTACCTGAAAGGCACCATTATAAAAAAGAATAAACAATGTCAAGTACCTGAAGGTGAACACGAATTCTGACTAAGATTCTGGCATTCTGGATCTTCCTGGTAGAAAATCTGTACGCCGGAAGTTTCCATGTTATCATCCTCAAGATCTTTAATTTCAGCATCTTTTTCACCTTCACGAGACCCAAAAACCATCTTAGAATCTCAACATAATCTGATTATAGTTTCAATGGTGAAAGCCCCACAAATAAGTCTTGACACTAAAATTTTAAATCTTCATTAAGATTTCTCACAACTACTCCCATTTATCTCTCAAAATAATTAAAGAATTATTTTGAGTTTGAAATCTCATTCTGGAGTTTGAACTCCAGTGTCAGTTAGAACTATATTACTCAATATGTGGAACATGGATCAGCAATTTCCAAGGTTTATTTGAATCTTGAGCCCCTACTGAATAAGAATCTGCATTATAACAAGATCTCCAAGGGATTAACATGCACAACTAAGAAGCATGATTTAGCAGACATTCATGTCTGCCATTTCTGACTGACTCTTGACCCAAGAAATCAGATGTGCATTTATACAGACATGCCAACTTACAATCTAAAGAAGCCTACACAAAGCTAAGACCAGACATTCAGATGTTTACCAATTTTTTTTTTTTTTTTTTTTTTTGAGACAGAGTTTCACTCTGTTGCCAGGGCTAGAGTGCCATGGCATCAGCCTAGCTCACAGCAACCTCAATCTCCTGGGCTCAAGCAATCCTTCTGTCTTAGCCTCCTGAGTAGCTGGGATTACAGGCATGTGCCACCATGCCCGGCTAATTTTTTTTCTATAATATTTTAGTTGGCCAATTAATTTATTTCTATTTTTAGTAGAGACGAGGTCTTGCTCTTTCTTGCTCAGGCTGGTTTTTTATTTATTTTTTTTTTTTAGTTAACTACAGTGAAAATGAATCTCAGGCTGGTTTTTGAACTCCTGACCTTGAGCGATCCACCTGCCTTGGCCTCCCAGAGTGATAGGATTACAGGCGTGAGCCACCATGCTGGGCCCAAACTTGGCCTTTAAAACAATGCTCCGAGATGTTAGCTTCGAGAAACCAAACAGTGGCTCAGACAATCACAACAAATTCTTCTTTGATGCCTGTTCTTGTTCAGTTCCATATGGCTTCCAGGTGAGAGAACTAGACAATGTTTCTCATGATTCTACTATGAAAAGCAGGTGAGTCCTGGATTTTGAACCTTTAAAGTCTAGAATTCTCAAGCTATTTTCTCTGATAATCTAAACTCATACTAGAAACTCAGATTCTCCCTCCCCAAATCCTTTGCGCCAGATGGGCTAATTCTAGATGAGAACAGTTTGCCCTGGTCCGTTTTTAGGGGTTATATACAATCAAACTAATTCCATGGTCAAGTAGCTGCCTCCTTCCCAGAACCCAGCTTCATGCTGGTCTCTCCTTAGAGATGTAACCCTGATAATCTGAAGGGGAAAATGCCTCTGATGGTAAGGAAAAGATGGGTAGCAATGAGGGAAGCCCTAAGCTGAGTCATGAAGAGGGCACAGCATGCGCTCAGACCCTCCCCCCCTTTCCCCTTCAGGAAGGAATATCTTACCGTTACCTACAATCCACAGTGTACTGAACTGGTTATCTTCTTTCTCCAAAGCAAGTTTCAAAATTTTGGGCCAGTTCTCTTTGTCTGATTTGAGAAGGCATTCCACCATTTTCTCTGCACCTGCCATCATCCCTTTATTGAAGGAAACCTACATAAGGCAAGTGCGGTTTATTGATCAACTATTTCAAAAGTTTTCCCTTTATCAGTTTTTACTGAAGAAATGTCAGTTCATATACCAGCTAATTTAAAATCATAGTACATTATGGTTCAATGGATCTTATTCATTGACCATCCAAGAGTCTCTTAAGATAGTCTTTCCTTCATCCTTGTCCTTCACACGTGATATCACTATGTCAAGCCAAGCCTTCTCACCTCCGAGTTCTAATAACTGTCATCATCAGCAACATGAGGAAAACAATTAATTCATTTGACAACCATTCACAATATGGGCATGTTGGCATAGAGCAATGTTTGGAAGCATATAACAAAATGTTAACAAATGGTTTTTTCAGGGTAGAGGGATTTACATGACTTATTATTAATCATAATAACTAAAATATATTATGCATCTATTATTATGTACCAGGCATATATGAGTACTTTACATATATTATCTTATTTAACCCTTATAAGAACTCATATTAGTATGGCACTATTATTATTCCCATTTTACACATGAAGACACAGATATTTAGAGAACTCATAACTTGCCCAAGATCACAAGTGGTGGAGCTATGAGTCTAACAAAATTCATCGGTGTCCAGAGCCTAAACACTTAACTGCCAGAGTCTAGGAGCCTTTTCCTTTTTATTTGAACTGCTCAATATTACTTAAATTTGCATAAAGCATTATTCACAAAAGTAATACAGTAATTTTAACTGAGAATAGGGCAGCAAACCTGAAAAAAAAATATGACCTAAAAATTACACGGTTCACAGTAAAAATACTATTCTAGGTAATTATGCCTTTGATATGAGGACTTTTGTGGGTTTCAATTATCTTTCTCAGGTCTAAATGAGTATAGAAAACAGAAGACATTTCCCATGTTCAACTTATTTCCCCTAAATTTAGTATTTTATATTAATTAACTTACCTGTCTAATTTCTTCACATTCCTGATTAATTAAACATATAGAGATTTCAGGAAGGATCTCTGTTGGATTGATTCTGGTTTTAAATTCTGGTTGTAAACGTCTTAAAAGTGATCTATAGTCCTCTAGCTTTTCAATTTTTTGGAAATCCCAATTTTCAATGGCTTCATAAAGTCCAGAATAACCTGAAAAACAAGAAAATGAGGATGCTTATGAGACTAACTGAAAAATAGTTTGAAATTAATACCATAGGAATCATGTTTGACTGTGTGGTGACAGAACTAAAAAAAAAAAAAAAAAAAAATCTCTAAATTACCCCAATTGTTGTTGATAAAAAAAAATTATTCATTTTAGTCACTTAACACTTTAGGTCTTCTAACAGTATTTATTATCTCTTAGGATAAAGTACAAAGGACAAATTTTTTTTTTTTTTTTTTTTTTTTGAGACAGAGTCTCACTTTGTTGCCCCAGGCTAGAGTGAGTGCCGTGGCGTCAGCCTGGCTCACAGCAACCTCAATCTCCTGGGCTCAGCGATCCTACTGCCTCAGCCTCCCGAGTAGCTGGGACTACAGGCATGTGCCACCATGCCCGGCTAATTTTTTTTTGTATATATATTTTTAGTTGGTCAATTAATTTCTTTCTATTTTTTGTAGAGACGGGGTCTCGCTCAGGCTGGTTTTGAACTCCTGACCTTGAGCAATCCGCCCGCCTCGGCCTCCCAAAGTGCTAGGATTACAGGCGTGAGCCACCGCGCCCGGCCAAAGGACAAATTTGAAACCTTACATTTAATCTTAATATAAAGTCTTTCTTTCCCCATGGTCTTCATTTATCACCAGTCTCTAAGTCAAATTCATCATATTTATTGTCTTCTCAGTGGAAAGCAGTAAAGGTGGCAAAAAGAAATGCAAATCTAAATTTCTGCCCCTCAGGGACTTTCCTTTTACATTTTTCCTAGTAAAGAATATTAAGTATATGGAAAATCTGAGGAGGAAAAAATAATTTCTAACTGTAATAATTCAAAAAATGTCTCACTCTAAGGTTCTCTAACAGAATCACTAGACTTGTCTGATTTAAAGGCCCATATTGTTCTCATTAGGCTGAGTTTTATTCCTATGTACCCAAGTAACTAAAGCAACCTTAAAGAAGTTTCTGCAGGCAAAAATGGCCCAGAGAACATGTGTTTATACCCCATAATATATACATAGATAAATGAATATATCCTATTGGTTGTTTCTCTGGAGAACCCTAATACATGGTATAAGTGTGCAATGTCATTCTTTTGTATATGAATATCCAGTTTTCCTATTAGCATGTGTTGAAGAGACTGTTTCCCCATTGAGTATTCTTATACTCTTGCTGAAGGTCACTGGGCCATATACTTGAGGGTTTCTCTCTGGGCTATTAGTCTATTCATCTGTCCTTATGCTAGTGCTGCACTCTTTTGATTACTGTACATTTCTAATATGTTTTGAAATCAGGAAGGGTGAGGCCTCCAAGTGTGTTCTTTTTCAAAATTTTGGCTATTCAGGATGCCTTGAGATTCCCTATGAATTCTGGGTGAGTTTTACTATTTCTGCAAAAATTGCCATTGGAATTTTGATAGGAATTGTGTTCAATCTGTAGTTTGCTTTGGGTAGTATGGGCAATTTAATATTAGGTCTTCCAATTCAAGAACTAACCGGAATGTCTTTCTATTTGTGTCATCTTTCATTTCTTTCAGCCACGTTTTGTAGTTTTCAGGGTGCAAAAGTCTTTCATCTCCTTGGTTAGGTTTATGCCTAAGTATTGTAATCTTTTTGATGTTACTATAAATAGAGTTGTATTAATTTCCTTTTTAGAGTAATTGTTAATATATAGACATACAACTGATTTTTGGGGTGTTGATTTTATACTCTGAAGCTCTTCTGAACTATTAGTTCTAACAAGTTTTTTATTAAAATCTTTATGGTTTTCTACATAGAAGATCCTGTCATCTGCAAACAGAGATGATTTTTACTTCTTCCTTTCTAATTTGGATGCCTTTTTTTGGTTTTCCTTGCCTAACTGCTCTGGCTAAGACTTCCAGTACTAAACCTCATTCAATTTTTAAAATAGAAGTACTATTTTTACCTAACAGATTGGTAAGGATTAAAATAACTTATAATATCCAGATGAATTATATCCCAAAAGTAGAGAAACACTGGTTTCTCTGAAGAGGGCTGTGTGAGTGACAGGGAAGAAAATAAAAAGGCAACTTTTGCTTTTTTCTTTATTGCCTTCTGCACCATTTGAATTGCTCATGATAAATAGGCATGAATTACAGTAACAGAAGTTTAGAGGACTTTTAAGGCAAGGTGAGGAAATGAAACAAAGTCAGTCAACAACCATTAATCCTAGAAGTAGAAGCAGAATACCAAGTTTCAGTTCATAATAAATATTATAACTAAGATTCACACTCTTTCACTTAAAAATTTGAAAAGTAAGACATTGCTTTTCATAAAGCAATTGCAAACATATTGACTATATATAGGCCTCCTGAGGAATTCTAATACCTAAGAAAGGTAGTAGTGTTTGTTTTTAACCTGTTACTTTAATATATGTGTTACAACATGATGATGTAGGTAATGGAGAACACCCCACGATAATACTTGTTTCTCTAGTAGCAGTGACAGATTTTCCTTGATTTGCCCATTTTTAAATCATTAGGGGGGGGGTGATAGGAAAAAAGTAAAAATAAAGAAAAAAAGAAAACAATTAGATCATTCCATTACAGTTAAAATTATAGTTATGCTAACTGCTCTCTTTTCTTAGTGCCTCCTGGACACACTGTGCTAGGTTCTTTTTTTTATTTTTTTTTGAGATATAGTCTCACTTTGTGGCCCAGGCTACAGTGAGTGCCGTGGCATCAGAATAGCTCACAGCAACCTCAATCTCCTAGGCTCAAGCCATCCTACTGCCTCAGCCTCCCGAGTAGCTGGGACTACAGGCATGCGCCACCATGCCTGGCTAATTTTTTGTATATATCTTTTTAGTTGGTCAATTAATTTCTTTCTATTTTCAGTAGAGACGGGGGGGGGGGGGGGTCTTGCTCAGGCTGGTTTCGAACTCCTGACCTGGAGCAATCCGCCCGCCTCGGCCTCCCAGAGTGCTAGGATTACAGGCATGAGCCACCACGCCCAGCCTGTGCTAGGTTCTTTATGTATGTTCTCTCACTCAATGTTTACAACACTGAAAGAAAATTATCCTTTCACTTCTTTGACAAATGAGTCAACTGAACCATCAGAGAGGCAAAATAATTTGGCTAAAATCCCCTAGATAGTAAGTGGCTGAACTGGTATTAGAACCTACTGTCTGACTTCCCATTCTGATGTTTCCAATGAGGTGAATTACCCCACAAAACAGACACTCCATAAGATGACCCAGGTTCTGGCTCCATCTTTTCTACTAATTAGCTGTACATTGAGCAAATCACCTACCCCTCTTCTAGGCCTTGGTTCCCCCATGTACAGAAGAAGGAACATTGGATTAGGTGAATTCTAAGATGTCTTTTGTCCCTAGAAGAGACTAACTCTGTATGCTATGGATGGTAGAGACCAAGGAACACATCATAGCTCTAAAAACAGAAATTTAAAAATTATATACTAGTCGATGCACATAACAGAATATTTATAGCATATATAAAACAAAGAACATAACAAAATGAGCATATGTGAACCTACTACCCAACTTAAGAACTAGAATATTCTAATACTTGTGTGTGCCTTCTCTTCTCCTTCCCCATCTCCCTGCCAAAGATACTGCCAAACTGTATTTGATATATCACTCTCTTGATTTCTTTTTTTTTTGAATAGCTGCATGGCATAGATTGATCTTCTAATATATAATTTGTTTGCAACTCTATAATATATCCCATAATATATAAGTTTGACTTTTTAAAATTAAATATTACATTTCTAAGACTCACCTGAGTTGTTGTCTACAGCTGTGTTCATTTTCATTGTAGTATAATGGACCATTGTGTGATTATAAAATTTGTCTATCCACTCTCCTTTTGAAGGATATTAGAGTTGCTTCCAATTTGTTTTTCTTACTACAGTCAGTTCTATATGAACATTCTTGTATGTATGTTTTCTATATAATTTATTTATTATTTATATTTTTCTTTCTTCTTTTCTTTTATTGAACTACAAGTTTCTTCATGATTCAAGTATGTTTTGGAATATATGTGTAAGTTTTTCTAGGCCGCAGACTTAAGAGTAAAACTGTTGGACAGAAGGATACATGAGAGTTGAAATCTATAAGATGATGTCAAATTGTTTTACAAAACAGTTTTATCAATTTATATTCCATATAGTGATATATAAGGTTTGCATAAAATGTTCTCTTTAAGCCTGAAACTATTGGACTGAAGTTTTGCTATCTAGTGGTTATAAAATGCTGTGTTTCTAATTCCCCAATTGCTAATTGGCTGAGAATGTTTTCATATGTTTTTTCACCTTTCGTGTTTCCTATTTTTCGAAATGTCTGTTCACATCTTTTGCTCTATAGGTGTTTTCCTTTTCCAATTGTTAAAACCTTTCTAATATATTCTGGATATTAATCCTTTGGTGATTATACATTTTGCAAATATGATCTCTCAGTCTGTGATTTGTTCTTTCTTTCTTTACAGTGTTTTTTTTTTGATAAACAGATGTTCTTCATTTAAACATCTGTAAAAGAAAAAAATCTTTTTATCTGAGGAATGCAAGCCCCTTTAAATTATCAGTCCCAGAGAGGCATTTAAAATGTAACAGCAGTACCACGCCTTCCTGAGCAAAATAATCACCACTTGAAACCACTTGTTATGAGGACTGACTGCTGCTAAGCAACCATAAAATGCCCCATGCCCTATATACAACAATGTGTAGCCAATCACTTACAATGTTATTTCTGTAAACCAGTGAGCATTCCTGATGAAAAACTTTTGTAATAAGTCCCCTCTCTCCTGAGTCATTCTTTTTTTCTTTAAAAACTTGAGCTTCTCCTTTGTACTCCAGAGCATTCCTCAAGGCAACCCCGAAGTGCACGCAGGGCTGTTGTCCTCAACTGTGGCCCAAATAAAGGGTCTGTATTAATTTTGCCTCAGCTTCTCCCTTTTAGATCGACACATAAAATGTATCAATCTTTCTTTCATGGTTAATGCTTTAATGTCTTGTTCATAAATTCTGCCCTACCCCAGGGTCCTAAGAATACCATTCTAGATTTTCTAAAATTGTTAAAAAAAAAATTTGTCTTTTAGAATTAAGTCTAATCCTTTTGAACGCATTGTGTCTGTGTGTAGTGGGGAGAAGGCAAGGGAGAGGAAGAGAATGGAATGAGGTAAGAGATATAAATTTGTATCCTCAAGGATATGGAAGTTGAAGTTTGTTTGGTTTTTAACACTACCCTGTTAATAATGAATAATGGCCCATTGCTATTTACTGAATAGGCCATTTCTGAACAGTGATCCTCCTTTCCCAGTGATTTTTTTTTTCCTGGCTTAGACCTGCATCAGCATCCAATAATCTTGCTAAACTCTTCCATTAGTTACAATAATCTCTCTGTATATTCCTTTGGCTATTTCAGACAGATAATTACATCATCTGCCTGCAAATAGTCTTTACATTGCATCAGACTAAGAGAAATAAACAGTAAGTGGACATCTCAAAAGTAATATCGCTTTTACAGCATTCTAAAACAGCAAAGTAATATACTCCGATTCATGAGTAAGAAAAATGAACTAACCTGCGTGGCTTAGGGCATCCAAGAAGGCACGGAACCAGCCTTCCTCCTGGAGCTCCAACAGGAGCTTGAGGAAAAGTGTGGCAGCCTCCATCGGGCCCTTGTTGTTTTTCTCAGCCTGAATACACTGCACCTCATCTACAAAACAGAAGCAAGAATGACTCGTTAAACTGCAGAACCACTAATCATTGGAAGAAAAATCCAGAAAAGGATTGCCAGACCTTACTGAATGTGGACAGGGATTGTAACAAGTCACACCTTAAGAAGGAACTTCAGGAAAGCAACAAATTCTCTGCCCGGACTCACTAAGCCCATTCTTCACCAACCCACCCTTCCAACCTCTCTGGAAGCCTCTCCTAGTTTGGTGTGGAAGTCTGAGAACATGCTCTAGAAAAGGAGTTTCTTCAAAATGTTTGAGAAAAGTCTCCTCACAACAAGGAGTAAGTCATGGAAGCACTGGCTTAGGTGGAAGAACAAAAGCTTCTCTGACATCTTGATTGGTTTTTGTTCTAAAGCCTGAATTAACAGCTGGATTTAAAAAGTGTGAGGACAGGACCACTCCATGGCATCAGTAACAATTATAGTGGACTCAAGCAAGCAGATAGAAATAGATACAGGTACATTCATGGCCCTTTTTGGCAGAAAACTATCTACCAAGGTGCTGGTAATCGTTCTGACTTTGTACCCTAACTTTATGCCTAGGGAGTAGTGGCCAAACCACTACTTTAGTATGGTCTGATAATTTTCCATTTTTTTTTCCATTGTTAATCGAATGCAAATTCCAAGGGAGTAAGCAAGTTATCTGGCTAGTGAACCACTACATTCTCAGAGATTAGAAGAGGATCTGGCACATAACAGACACTGAACAAAGGTATGTTGAATGAATGAAGCAAGAGAAGAAAGAATACCTTACAACCTAGGTTTAGTTAAAGGGATCTCTGCCCAGGTCTCTGTCCTGGCAACAATAAAACCCATTTCAAGTATAAAATTCAATGATTTTTACAATTGTGAATCCTTACTAATTTTAGCATATTTCTATTACTGCAAAAAGAAATTCTGTACCCAGTCACTCCCCAGTCTGCCTCCCCCCAGCTCCAGGCAGCCAATCACTAATCAAGTTGGGTCTCTATGGATCTGCTTCTTCTAGACATTTGAGAATAATAGAATCATACAATAGGTGGTCTTCGCGACTGGCTTCTTTATCACTTTGCACAATGTTTTCAAACTGCATCCATGTTGTAGTAAGATTTATTCATTTTTATTGCCAAATAATATTCTACTGTATGGATACATTACATTTTATTTATCTGCTCATGAGTTAATGGGCATTTGGGTTGTGTCCACATTCTGGCTATTATAAATACAAATGCTATGAACATCCATATACGATGTTTTGTGTAAATCTGTATATTCATTTCTCAAGTGCACAACTAGATATGATTGCTAGATCATATGATAATTTCATTTTTTAACACTGTAAGGAATTGTCAAGCCGTTTTCCAAAAGAGCTGCATCATTTTACATTCCCCCCAGCAATCTAGGAGGATTCTAATTTCTACATCCTTGCCAATGCTTATTACTGTAGTTACAGTGACAAATTGCCATGGACCAGGTGGTTAAAACAATAGAAAATTATCCTCTCACAGTTCTGGAGGCCACATCTGAAATCAAGGTGCCAGCAGGGTCACACTGCTTCTGAAAGCTCAAGGGAGAATACATTCCTTGCCCCTTCCTGGTTCTAGTAGGTGCTGACATTGCCTAGCTTGTGACTGCACTCCCTCCAATCTGCCTCTGTCTCCATATTGCCTTCTCCTCTTTCTTTGACTTGTAACCACATCACTCCCATCTGCCTGTCTTCCCATGGCGTTCTCTTGGTCTCTGTCTTCACATGGCTATCTTTTTCTAGGGACACCTTATATTGACTTAAGGGCCCACCCAACTCCAGTATGATCTCATAACTAATTATTTTAATACTTCTGTAAAGACACTGTCTCCAAATAAGTCAATTTTATTTTGAGACCTGTCACCTGGGCTAGTGTGCAGTGGTGTCAGCCTAGCCCACAGCAACCTCAAACTCCTGGGCTCAAGCGATCCTCCTGCCTCAGCCTCTCGAACAGCTGGGACTATAGGCGTAAGCCGCCACATCTGGCTAATTTTTCTATTTTTAGTAGAGACGGGGTCTCTCTTGCTCAGACTGGTCTCAAACTCCTGAGCTCAAACGATCCTTCCCACCTTGGCCTCCCAAAGTGCTAGGATTACAAGTGTGAGCCACCACGCCCAGCCAATAAATCACATTCTAAGGTATTGGGGATTAGGACTTCAACATACCCTTTGGGGGGGACAAAATTCAACCCATAATAACCTATCTTGTCAACTATCCTAGCTTCCCTGGGCCCTAACCCTACCCTATTCCTTTGAGTCAGTTCATTCTGTTCTAAACTCGGTCCTACAGCTGTACTAAACTCAATCCTACAGAATGAACAGCATTCTGTTCTAAACTCGGTCCTACAGCAGGCCTCCGTTCCAGGCCTGCTGCTTGATCTTCCCCTTGATGTGCTACCAGCCATTACTGATACTCCACATGGAGGTCAAGTTTACCTGATTACCTGTGGGAGCCATAGCTGAGAACTTCCCATATAAACTGTCTTGCTAGGCAGCTTACTTTTTTTTTGAGACAAGGTCTCACTGTTACCCAGGCCGAGTACAGTCGCACCATGATAGCTCACTGCAACCTCAAACTTCTGGACGAAAGCCCCCTGAGTATTTGAGATTTTGAGACTATAGGCACATACCACCATGCCTAGATAATTTTTTTTATTTTTTGTAGAGACAGGGTCTCACTATGTTGCTCGGGCTGGTCTTGGACTCCTGGCCTCAAGCAATCCTCCTGCCTCAGCCTCCCAAAGTGATAGGATTACAGGCGTGAATCACCCACAGAAAATGCTCCCATGGGTGACCCCAAAGGTCTACAATGCCAAAGTCAAGGGAATTTTTTTTTTTTTATAGTCCCTCTCAACTTCTGCCTCTTCACACTGCCACCACTCTAATATTCTCTGGATTCTTGCAATACTGGTTTATCTCACACCATGGACCTTTGTCATAGGCACCCTCTACCTGTAATTTCTTGTCTCCTTCCAGCTAATTCTCTCTCCTACTTTAGACCTCAGTTCAAATGCCAAATACCTGGGAAGCTTTGCTTGTGCCCTTTGGACCAGGTAACTTTCCCAGGTATGTGCTCCCACAGTACCCTATAGGCTTCCATCAGACCATCACTGCACTTTATTATTTACTGTCTATTTAGCTACCTGACCTTCACATAGGAACTCTAACTGCTATTAGGGCAGGACCATTTCTATTGTGCTTACCAGTGATTCTTCAGCTCCCAACATAACGCTCCCTATTAGATAACAGGTGCTTAGTAAATTATCTCCAACACTAACATAATACCTAACACATGAGTTGCTTCTTTTATTCAATTAAGGTTTATTAAATCAATACATAAGTACATGGAAAAATAATACACCAGTTCGCTAGTGTTAACATCCAAGTATTAATATTTCTAAAAGACATGTCCTGTGTCTACTCTGGTCATTAGGATGCTATTTTAGTACTTTCCTCTGGACACAATTAGATAGTGAATGTCCACTTTTGTTGGTGGTATTCTTTCACTCCTCACTCCACAACTTTTGGTTGGGTTTTGCAGAGCAATTAGCACCCAAATACCTGTTTTAATGCAATTTCCTTGCATTGTGATAACTGTGATAACATCCTTAAAGACATTTAGGCCGTTGGAGACTGACAAGCACCGCCTCCCTTCCTCCTCTTTTCCAGAAGCCTCTGCTCCTCTCCAGCACAAGCAATTCAGTACAGTTCACAAATGCTCCTTATCCATGATCACGTGTCAAAAGCCTGGTGGAAACACCTGTACTAAAGCCTAAAGCTATTCGGTCTTGGGAAAGTCTTGCTTCTCTCAAGTTTCTGGTTATTTTGAAGTGTAAGACCTGGCAGAGAAAACATTAACTTCCTTTGAGCTCCAACAGCTTTTTGTAGGAGGTATTGTAATCATTTGCGTACATCTGTCCTTGCCTGCCGCCTCCCAAAACCTTGGGCTGGAAAGTACATTAAGGAAAGACCTGTATGGTATCCTCAATCTCTGATGCCAGTACAAACCACGCACAAGGTAGACTTACGTATTAGTGGAAATAAAAGTTTTTTCCCAGCTTTGAACCTAAATAGAAGTGCACCCCTAAGTAAGTCGCTTCACTTCGCTGGAACTCAGTTTCCCCACCTAGCCCTCCATGGGCTCCTTAAAGTCTGGCAATCTCTAGTCTAAAATGCTGTGGGGATCTTGCCACAAACCCCGGGTTCCTAGCAGGTAACCTTTATCCTTTTGAAGGGAAAAACAAGTCCTCGATTGTTTTCCTGCTCCAACGGGCGGAAAACACTCACCGTCCCTGAACCAGGGGGCCATGTAGCCCAGGATGTGGGTAGGGTCCAGCGTCTTCCTGACATAGTCCCTGAAGGCGTGCAGGTTCCGCCGCTGCTCGGTGGTCATGCTGGCCTCGGCCTCGCGCGGGGACTGCGCCCCGCTCCTTTAGACGCCGGGCTGGAGGCGGAGGGCGTGGCGAGGCAGGAAAGCACACGGGATGAGAGGCGGGGCTGCACGGGAACTTCAGCTGCTAGAGGGAAAATCGAAACTGCAACTGCTGGCTGCTGGGCGCGGGCGGGGCCGCGGGGGCCGCGCCGCTGCAGGTTACCCGCTTCCCTCGGTTTCGCTTTCCGGCACGTGGAGCCCAATGACCCAGAGAGACCCAAGGGGACTCCTGGGAATTGCTTTTATTTTTATTGTTTCATCTGTTTTTTGTTTTGCATTTTTAGCGGTACAGTGTAGAAACAGTAAAATGCAGTTATGTGTAATTCGATGCATTTTGAAAAATGTATACCGGTGTACTTTTTCCAGGTCGGCTGGATCCTATGGTGAGTGCATGTTTAAATTTATAGGAAACTGCTACCTGTTTTCCAAAATGGCTTATAAACAGCTTTCATTTGCATTCCCAACCGCAGTAGAAGAGAGCTCCAGTAGATGCACACATTGGTCAGCACCCCCCCCTTTTTTAACTTCCATCTTGTGAAATGGTATATTATTGTGGTTTTAATTTCCCATATAATGAATGATGTTGGGCACATTTGCATGTGCTTATTGGCCATTCCTATAACTTCTTTTGGGAAGCAGCTACTCTGATCTTTTGCCTGATTTTAGAGTTTATTTTTATTATTATTTTTGAGACAGAGTCTCCCTCTGTTGCCGGGGCTAGAGTGCAGTGAGTGCAGCCTAGCTCACAGTAACCTCAAACTCCTGGGCTCAAGGGACCCTTCTGCCTCAGCCTCCTGAGTAGCTGGGACTACAGGCATGCACCATCATGCCCAGCTCATTATATATATATATAGTTGTCTGGCTAATTTCTTTCTATTTTTAGTAGAGACAGGATCTCCAACTCCTGACCTCAAGCCATGCTCCCACGTCAGCCTCCCAGAGTGCTAGGATTATGGGCATGAACCACCACACCCAGTTCTGACTTTGGAGGGTGTTTTTTTTTTTTTTTTTAACAGATCTACAGGAATTATTTATTCTGTTGCCCAGGCTAGAGTGAGTGCCATGGCGTCAGCCTAGCTCACAGCAACCTCAAACTCCTGGGCTCAGGTGATCCTCTGCCTCATCCTCCGGAGTAGCTAGGATTACAGGCATGTGCCACCATGCCCGGCTAATTTTTTCTATATACTTTTATTTGGCCAATTAATTTATATTTTTAGTAGAGACAGGGCCATGTAATTTTCTTAACAGTGTCTTTTGATGAGCAGAAGTTTATATTAGTGAAATCTAATTTATCAGTTTTTTCTTCTATTTATTGCTTGTTAGGCCCTTTTAAATAAATCTTTGCCTACATAAAAGTAATGAAAACATTCTATGTTTTCCTTAGAGTGTTTGTATTTTTAGTATTTACTTTTGGTCTATGACTAATCTTGTTGTGTTGTGAAATAGGGGATCCAGGTTCACTTTTTCCCCATACTTCTAATTGTTCCAGAACCAGCTGTTAAAAACTTTTCCTTTCGGCTGGGCGCGGTGGCTCACGCCTGTAATCCTAGCTCTCTGGGAGGCCGAGGCGGGAGGATTGCTCGAGGTCAGGAGTTCGAAACCAGCCTGAGCAAGAGCGAGACCCCGTCTCTACTATAAATAGAAAGAAATTAATTGGCCAACTAATATATATAGAAAAAATTAGCCGGGCATGGTGGCGCATGCCTGTAGTCCCAGCTACTTGGGAGGCTGAGGCAGGAGGATTGCTTGAGCCCAGGAGTTTGAGGTTGCTGTGAGCTAGGCTGACGCCACGGCACTCACTGTAGCCTAGGCAACAAAGTGAGACTCTGTCTCCAAAAAAAAAAAAAAAACAAAAACAAAAAACTTTTCCTTTCACCATTTAATAGCCTTGGGACCTTTGTGGGGGAAAGGGGGGAGGTGTCTCAATTGTCTGTGTGTGTAGAATTTTTGTTTACATTTCTATTTTCTGCTACTTGTGACAATGCCACTCTCTTTCAATTCTTGGAAATCGGGTAATATTTAGTCCTCCAAATTTGTTCTTTACTATAAAGAATGTATTGGCTATTCCAGATTCTTTGCATTTCCACGTGACATAAGAATCAACTTAATTCCCTCCCCCCAAAACCTATTGGAATTGCATTGAACCTACAGAGGAACTTGGGGAGAAATGACATCTTAATATTGAGTCTTCTAATTCATGAAAGTGGTATGTCTTTCCATTTGCATAGGTCTTTAATTTCTCTCAGAAATATTTTATAGGTTTTCAATTTTAGAGACAAGGTCTCACTGAGTTGCCAAGGCTGGAGTGCAGTGGCTATCCACAGGTGCAGTTATAATGCACTACAGCTTTGAGCCCCTGGGCTCAAGCTATCCTCCCATCTCAGCTCCCAAATAGCTGGAACTGTAGGCATGTGCCATGCACCTGGCTATTTTTTATTTTGTGTTTTTGATGCTACTGTAAAGGAATTTTTTTAAATTTCACTTTCAAATTGTTTGTTGCTACCAAATAGAATGTGATGTCTGTCAACCTTATATCATGAAACATTGCTAAATTGACTTATTCTAGTAATTGTTCTGTAAATTCCTTAAAATTTCCTAGGTAAATGTCAATTGGGGATAGTTTTACTTCTTCCTCTCCAATCTTTAAGCTTTTTATTTTGTTTTCTTATTGCACCTCCTAGAGCCTCCAATAGAAAGTTGAATGAAAGTGGTGAGAGTTGACACCCTTACTTTATTACCAATCTCAGTGGGGAAATGATCAATGTTTCACTTTATGATGTTAGCTGTTTTTTTTTTTATGCCCTTTATCAGAGTGATGAAGTTCTCGTTTATTCCTGGTTTGTTGAGTTTTTAGCATGCATGGGTGTTGAGTTTTTCAGTTTTCTGCATCTGTTGAAGTGATCGTATCTTTTTTTTTTTTTTTTTCTGGCTAATATAGATTTTGGTAAAAGGTGATCATATAGTCTGTACCAAATTTCATTTAAGTTTTGAATGTTAACCCCACCCTAAGATTCCTGGGAATGTGATTCCAGTAAAGTGCAGTGGAAAGGAAATAGAGGGAATAAGGAGTAAAAAACACTGCTTATATTAGGTGAGTTGGGCAGGGAAGACCTAAATGAATGAGGAAGCAGGTCTTTTGGTTGAAGGGCTTTGTACTCACATGGAACAGAAGGTGGTGCAAGAGCCCCAAGACAGAAATAAATTGGGCCTGCGAAAGAAAAGTAGCCAGGGTTACTAGAGCGGAGTGGGCTGGGAAAAGAGAGGTGGCCAAGGCAGTTAACATAAGACCCCATAGACCATGATGACTTTGGTTTTAATCTTCAGTATGATGTGGAACTGCCACAGGATTTTGAGAAGGCATAACATGATCTGACTCCTGTTTTTAAAGGATCACTGTGGTGACTGGAGGAAAACAAGCTGCAGGTGAGGGACAAAGGTGGACAGTGACTAGGTAAGAGGTACAGCACTAGTCCAAATGGAAGTGGTGAATTGGCAAGGATATATGATCCTGAAACCCCAATTTGCTGATGAATTAGATGTGAGAGAGGAACCAAGAAGCGCTCCAATTTGTTTAGCCTGAGCAGCTCTGGGAGAGATGGTGCCATCTCTTAACATGGTAACACTGGAGGAGAGGCAGACTTGGAGGAGGAAATCAAGAATATGCATGCTTGCTGAGAATGATCCACAGGCAGTGCTTCTCAAACATTAACATGCACATGAATCACCCACAGTCTTGTGTTAGTGCAGATCCTGATCCAGGAAGATCTGAGACCCTACATTTCTAACAAGCTCCCAGGTGAGGCTGATGCTACTGGTCAGCAGACCTCACTGAGTAGGTCACTAAAAATCAAGAGATAAGGGGAAAAGAGGATAACTGAAAAATAAACATTCCTATTAAATAGAGGGGAAGTGAAATCCAGAGCACATATGGAGGGATTAGCCTAGAACAGTTCTCACATTGGTCTGCAGCATGAGAACAACATGGAAACTTGTTAGAAAAGCAAATTCTTGGCATCCCAGATCTTCTGAATCAGAAACCCTGGGAGTAGAGCCCAACAATCTATATTTCAGCAAACCTATCAGATAATTCTGATGCATGCTACAGTTTGAGAACCAGAGACCTAGAGTAATGGGACTTCATTCACCAAGTGGACAGAAGGATGCTGTGGTAAATTAACATTATAATTCTTTTCCCAATATTTACACCTTTTACAATGTAACTTTGCAACTCCTCCCACAACAGGGGAGTCTGATTTCCCTGCCCTTTAATCTGGGCTGGACTAAAGACTTTGCTATTGGCAATAGAATATAGCAGTGAGGGTTTCTCAATTCTGAGCCTAGGTTTCAAGAGACCTTGTATTCTTCTGCTCCTTCTGTCTCTCGGATCCCTGAATATACCAAGAAAAGCAGCTCGGGCTAATGCACTGGAAGATGAGAAACAACAAAGAGCACGGCAATCCCAGCTGAGGCCATCTTAAAGCAGCAGACTTGCCAGTTAACTGAAGACACAGGACAGTGACAGTCAAGACCAACGAAGCAGACAGTCTCTAATAACTAATATGATAAGAGGTATTATGTGTGGTACACAGGCAGGATTTGTGTTTGTTTGAGCCTGGTGTTGCAGACCTGCAGTCAGTCTCTATACTTGTAACTGGGTGGTAAAAGAAGAGTGGGGGGGAGAGGCTTAAGGAGGTAAAGGCATGAAAGACCTGTTATACCAAATACAGTGAGTAAGAACCCTAGAAAAACTTGCCTGTTACTGTTGTATATCATATGAAGGTGAGGCTGGTTGACTGTTTTTATGGTGACAATTTACTTCAGGAACGCTTAGCAGGATGCATGTAGGCACAACTTAAAGAGTTGGCGTCATCCAGATTGAGGTCATGCCAGGTAAAGTGTTAGCAAACTACAGCTTGCACACCAAATCTGGTGCATGACTTTTCTACAGGCCACAAGCTAAATATTAAAGTTTAAAAAGTGTTGTAGAAAAAAACAAATATATAACACAGACTGCACATAACCCACAAAGTCTAAAGTATTTACTTTCTGGTCCTTTAGAGGAAAAGTTTGCCAACCCCTAAACTAGGTGAATGAGAAAAAAGGACAAGAGAGTTGAAAGGTGTTACAAAGAGTGATTTAAACATTGTCCAGGAAATCATAGCTGGACATGATGGGACGTGAACAAGGGTGATTGACAGAGTGAAGTCAAAAGATTTTACTTCCCTAGTTCTATATTCTAAAAACCGTATTAGATACCCCTGCAGGCAGCCTAACCTGCTCAACCCAGAGCAACAGTTCCTAATATAATGATCACATGAAGGAATAGTGAGCAAGCATGAAAGGCTGAGTTACATTTCCTGAGGTTAAAAAAAAAAAATCCATGGACAATGAATTCAGATGAACAAGTTAAAATATACATTAGGCTAAAAGTTTATATAGTGGAGCTTTTTGAAAGCAGAAAGCTAGTCTTGGCCAATTTCTGAAATATCCAGGACCTATTTATTGATTCATCCAGTGTTTTAAGGACCTCTATGTGAAACAGTAAAAAGGATATGGCAGTACACCTACATACATATAGTTGTCGCAGAACTTTCAGACTAGTGGAAATAAGGCAGTTAGTAATCAATTACCAATTGTCACAAGTGCTCTGGAGTCTGGGGTTGTTCAAAGAGCAAGTAATTAAGGAGAAATAATAGGGTAGCAGGTGACAACACACTTTTAACAGAAACCTAGTTTACCCAAGGTGGAGCTGTTTGTTTCCAGAAGAAGAAAAATGTGAAAAACGCCACATTCTGATGCAGTAGGGAATGGCACCTCCATAGCCCTCCCATGAATGAGGCGAGAGAAATGCTGAAGATGGGCCAGAGCCTTATTAGGTAGACTTGTAAACCAATTCACATTATTGAATTTTTTGTTTGTCTGATTTTAATACCCTCAGAAAAGTGGGAAGCTATTGAAGGATTTAAGTAGGGGAATAAAGTGAAAAAATGTTTTTAAAAGATCTTTTGAATACTGCATCAAGAATGGATGAGGGAAAAGGAGTGGAATGCAGGCAGACCCATTATGGTAGTATAGGTGAGATGTCCTGGCTGCCTAGACTGGATGGTATAAACACAATAGAAATACTAGAAAAATATTTAATGACCAGTATTTGGTTGCATAGGAGAACTGAAAGACAGGACTTGATTTTGGGCCTGAACATGAGTGATGGTACCATGCATTGTGTTTTCATTAAATGTTTAACAGAAAACATGATGTAAAATATACAATGTGGAATAAAACAGCATTCTTTAGTTTTTAATACTTAATTAAGAAAAATATTATAACCATAAAGTAATTTCATATATTCAATTTGTATTTCTTGATCAATCTATATAGTCTTCCCACAATTTCTCAATGTCTGAGCTTACTAAAAATTGCTAACATCAATTTTAGATTCTTATAATTTTAAACCAATTTTTTACTGTGCTTAGGATAAACAAATTCTAAACATGGCCTACAAAGCTTGTTCCTATACTCTGTCCTTTGGCTAACCTTGCCCTTTTTGTTCTTGAAATATGCTAGGCTCCCCTTCTGCCTTTGGATCTTTGCATATATTTTCCTTTGCTAATAGCAACTCTACCCCTAGTTAATATCCACTTGTTTTCCAGATTCCAATTCAACTATTAGTTCCACCTGAGATTAGGCTCCCATTATATACTCTTATAATTATAGTTTCTCTTCAGAGAATTTGTTTGTAATGTTATATTTATATAGATATTATCCATCTTAAGTAATCTGTAAGCCCCATGAGAGCAGAGAGCATATCTGCATTGCTCTGTCACTAAAACCTAGTACAGAGCTGCCATATAGCAGGCATTCTAATTTCCAATCAATGAATGAATGTGGTAACAAGGCAAACTGAAGGCTGAATTGAGATTTAACTCAAGCTCTGTTGTTTACTAGCAATCCTAAATCAGCCTAGATGTAATTTTATCATCTCTTTACACAGAGAAGAACTACCAAGGTAAAAGAGGTATGGCAAGGGTATTTTGTGTTTTTAGTAACTAAATGCTACTTAATAGCATTTTGCTTAAGACAAAATCAGATTAAATAACTAAAATAATCATGAAAACTGAAGTATTTGTAAATCCAGATGACCTGAAATTTAGTATTTATAACAAAATTATACCCTTAGCTATTTTCAAGATTCTGGTTCTACTACAATCTTTTTTAAAAGCAATGCTGCATAGGAAAATTTCTGATTCTTATTTTAAAGTGTTACTGTTTTATTTTGTCTTTTGTTGAATACACATTTGTTTTACTGGCACTCCAGATAAACAAGTATATAAAGGAAATAGTAAACTTTTCTTTTGGCAGAAGTCAAGATAAACTGCAGATTAAAATGCCTCAATTTAACCTGAAGAAATGGTTTTGAATCATACAAATTTTTAAGAAGAAAAATAAAGACTGTCCAAAGGGATTCTCCTAGCTTATAACACATTTCCAGAATAACTCTCAAAAAAAAAAAAAATTCAAAAATACTCATTACCTTAAAAATATGTCAATACCATATGGCTTTATGAAATAACTTCTAAAATTTATACTTTATTTAAAAAGGATCCCAAGTTTTAAATAAACTGCTAGCAATATCATTTTCTTCACTTCAAAGTGCATATCTCTGAGGGTGGGACATACATACTTTTTGAACAAATAATGATTCTTATAAAGTAACACACAAAAAAAATCACTTAAACGGGAATAGAGTTTTCACCAAAAGACATCTTTAAATAGACTGAAGTAGAGGACACTGTTCCTTTTTTTCCTTTGTATACCAACAGAATTCTCAACGAGTTGCTTTGGCAGTTTTAAGACATCAGTTTCTACCAAGAGACACTGACATTAATGATGTCCGTGGAGATGGCAATTGCCTTGATGGCTCAGTTTGAATAGAGACATTACTGGCCTGGTTCTCCAAATTAGAGGCAAAGGTGCTCTCTTTTCTTACATCAAGAGTTTGTTCAACTGAAGCTGTTGGGGATGGAATATTATCTACAGTTTTGTTGGCATTATTATTCAAGTTGTTAGTAAGTGTGGTAACATCACACTCCTTGTCCAGACCACCAAATTCACCTTCTATTGTAACTACATCTTTAGTTTCAAATGGTTCCAAGGAAGGAGCCAAAAACTCATTTTGTAGAGGGTCTTGAGGCCCATTATTGTCACATTTTGCATCTTCTTTTACTTCAGAATCCTTATCACTATCACTGTCGATGGTAATTACAACTGGAGAACGTGAACTATTGTCTCCATGGTGTTTCTTATGCTTCTTCTTGTGTTTCTTCTTTTTCTTTTTATGATGTTTGGTTGTATCAGTAGCTTTTCCTTCGTAAACTATCTCTACACTCAGGCTCCGGGCCCTTTTTCTCCTCTTGTGTTTTGTCTCTCTATCTGATGATCGGCTGTCTGAAAAGCTGTCACTCTCATTTTTGTAGTTTCCATCCAATTTTGAGGAATATTTCTGGTAATGACCATCCTTTACTTTAGAAGCAAATTCATGAGATGGTTGAGCCACTTCATTAGCACCCTCCAAATGCCGTGTTTTGTATTTTCGTTTCCCTCCAGGTTTTTCATTTCTCATCCGCTCAGGCCCTGTAGATGCAGTCCTTGATCTGTTACTAGACAGGCTCCTTGATCTATGCCTTTCATAGTAGTAGTATTTCCTTTCGCTGTGATTGTTTTTTTTCCTAGCATTTGTTCTTTCAGAAAAAGACTGAATTCTAAATTCTGGACTTGAAGATTGTCTGGAATAATGAGCTCTGGACAGAGTCCTCCTCCTGTAAGATGATTCGTACCCATCCCTGTCCTTGTTTCTACTATAATAAGTATACTCCCACTTGTATCTGCTTCCATAATTATTTCTTAAATAGTAACGATCTCTATTTCTGCTCCGTGATCTTCTTTTACCATGATCACTACTACGAGACCTTGATCTGCTTGTGCTTTCACTACTTAGAGACAGAGTTTGGCTTCGTCTTGACCAACTGCTATCTCTAGTTCTTGACCTCTTTTTGTCTCTTCTTCCTCTAGGTCTACTTTCCCTGCTTCTGGATCTTTTGCTTTTCATTCTTTTCTTACCATGATGCTTTCTATGATTCTTATCATATCCGCTTCTACTCTGGGAACGTGAATCTGAACTTCTTGATCTTCCCCTCTTCCTGTGTCTATAGTTGTATGGAGAATATACTCTGTCTCCTCTCAAAGATGAGCTCAGGTCTCTGGGAGATGACAATGATGTAGATCGTTTCTCTTCCTTCTTGGATTTGATTCTTGTACCAGAATCACAATGACCTTTATTTATTTGCTCATCTTTTCCAAGGACAGAGCGTGGAGATGAACATCTACTAACATCACTATCACCAGAACTGTAAGACTGGTCTTGTTCTTGTGTCTTCACTGTCTCCATTTTCTCATAAGTACCTAACTCCTCAGAATCTGAGGACAGTTCAACAAGTTCTGGGGTCCTCTCAGCTAGTGGTTTAACAAACCCAACAATTACACAATTATCTGAAGAAGAATCACTGTCATTATTCAAGTCCTCATTGGTTTGTACTCCTTGTATCTGAGACGTGGTTGCCCCTGTGACCAGTTCTTCATCTGAACTGTCAGAAGTATTTAAAAGGGAAGACATAGCAACATGTACCTGCTCTGAGCTTGAGTAAGATGGTCCCGGTGTTTCATCATCCCATGGTGCCTGACTAACAGTGGCTACATTAATATCTAGCTCTTGAGTCTCAGCCTCATCTGGAGATATTGTTATGACTGAAGAATCAGAATGGCTGCCTTCTTCATATGAAGGAGCAGGGCAATCATAATTAGCATGCTGGTCAAAGGCTGCCATGTTAAAAGGAGATCGAGCAAAACTGATAAATTCATGTATAAAATGTTCGGTTCGATTAAGTAAAAATGGTCTTAAATCAGACACAAATGCCTGGCTTTCCAAATCATAGCGAGTAACATTACTCATGATGATGTGCTGGACGATGTTCACTAAAGATCCATGAGCTCCAAAAAGAACTGTAAGTTCACGTTTTAACCAGGGGACTAATCTGTGAAGGCAAGCTGGGTTTCTACGGAAAAATTCAGCTGAAATATCCCTATAGCGGCCACCATCTTCAATATTTCTAACTCGAGCACCAGCACGATAGAGAGTTCGTCTAAAATTAATAATGTCTTGTTCTTGAATTTTCCGCAAAGATCTTTCATCTGCAGTAGTTGGCCTCCTTATTGCAACCTGCCTCATAAACTGAGGAATTTCAACATCTCTAGATCTTGTTGAAATGCCTAACCCTTCAAATAAAACTCCACTATCTGGTGGAGTTGTTGTTCTTCTATTTATGGTACTATTAGGTGAATAAACAGAAGTATTCCGTTCCCTTGTCATAGTTGTACGGTAGCGAAATCCTCGACCATCAGGGATGGCAAAAGAACCATTATAGGAAGGCCTTAGGACATATTCCTTGAAGTCATCTTCTGCCCTCACAGAATGGAAAATAGAATCAAAGGGCTGTTTACATAGTGGACATTCAGCTTTGTTTTTTGACCACTCCTGTACACAGCGAAAACAGAACTTATGTAAACAGCGATCTAAGTAAGACACATTATCAAATCTATCCAAGCATATAGGACACTTAGAATCAGGAGATGCATCAGCTGGTACCGTCTGTTGTAATTTGCTAGTGCCAGCTTTAGGTGAAAAGTTGTCCATTTTAAATTCCTTAGCGGCTGATGCCATTATCTGTAAAAGGGAAAGAAATATATCAGTAACCTGATAAAAGATACCAGATGTCTAAATCATCTGAACAAAAATGCAAATAAAGACCTGGAAACATTCTTTGGTGAAAATATTTGAGCAGTTCATTACTTTTGTAACAGTATAAAGGGACAGGATAGCACACTAATGTGGTGCTTAAAACACAAGCTCTAAAGTCAGACTTCCTGGGATTGAATTGTATGTAATTCCACTACTGTAGCTATGGACCAGTAAGTATTATCTCTGTGCTATAATTTGATCTGTAGGTCAATGATAATACAACCTGCCTCCCAAGTTTATGACGATGTAAAAAGCCCTTAAAGAAGTGCCTGGTTGGCCAGGCGCGGTGGCTCACGCCTGTAATCCTAGCACTCTGGGAGGCCGAGGCGTGCGGATTGCTCAAGGTCAGGAGTTCAAAACCAGCCTGAGCAAGAGTGAGACCTCGTCTCTACTATAAATAAAAAAGAAATTAATTGGCCAACTAATATACATAGAAAAAATTAGCCGGGCATGGTGGTGCATGCCTGTAGTCCCAGCTACTCGGGAGGCTGAGGCAAGAGGATCACTTGAGCCCAGGAGTTTGAGGTTGCTGTGAGCTAGGCTGACGCCATGGCACTCACTCTAGCCTGGGCAACAAAGTGAGACTCTGTCTCAAAAAAAAAAAAGTGCCTGGTACATACTTAGGGGCTCAAGTATTACATAACATTCTATTAGTCTTTTTCACCTGCACTCGAAAGTTTATAGCAGCACAATTCACAATCGCAAAGCTGTGGAAACAACCCAAGTGCCCATCAATTCATGAGTGGATTAATAAAATGTGGTATATGTATACCATGGAATACTACTCAGCTTTAAGAAACAATGGTGATATAGCACCTCTTGTATATTACTGGATAGAGCTGGAACCCATTCTACTAAGTGAAATATCTCAAGAATGGAAAAATAAGCACCACATGTACTCACCAGCAAATTGGTATTAACGGATCAACACCTAAGTGGTCATATAGGAGTAACATTTATTGGGTGTTGGGAGGGTGGCAGGAAAGGAGGGGATGGATATATACAACCACGAGTAAGAGGTGCAATGTTTGGGGGATGGACATGCTTGAAGCTCTTACTGGGGGGGGCCACGGGCAATATATGTAACCTTAACACTTGTACCCCCATAATGTGCTAAATTAAAAAAAAAACAACAAAACATCCTATTAGTCTTTTTAACTTAAATTTACCTTAATTGAGAAATATGTGACATATACAAAAAACTACAAAGAAAACAAAGTACCCATGTACCTACCACTCAGATTTTTTTTTGAAACAGAGTCTCACTTTGTTGCCCAGGCTAGAGTGAGTACCGTGGCATCAGCCTAGCTCACAGCAACCTCAAACTCCTGAGCTCCAGCAATCCTTCTGCCTCAGCCTCCTGAGTAGCTGGGTCTACAGGCATGCATCACCATCCCGGCTAATTTTATATGTATATTAGTTGGCCAATTAATTTCTTTCTATTTTTATAGTAGAGATGGGGTCTTGCTCTTGCTCAGGCTGGTTTCAAACTCCTGACCTAGAGCAATCCGCCTACCTCGGCCTCTCAGAGTGCTAGGACTACAGGCGTGAGCCACTACGCCCGGCCTACCACTCAGATTTAATAACTAATATTTCCTCATAGTTATTCTAGACTTTTAAAAATGTCTCTTAACTTCCCGTTACAAAAAGGGAAAATAACTCTCTATAAAACAAAAACACCATAGTCCTCAGTTGTTGTTTTTATGTATAGTTTTATACCTTTCAAACACATACATTGCTAACAATATAAACTGATTTATGTGATAATATTGTATATGTACTTTTCTGAAAGGGCTTCAGTGAGATATAATTTACATTCCAAAAAGTTCACCTGTTTAAACCAATTCTACAGTGAAAAATCTTCACTAAAAAAAGAATCTTTGACCAGGCACAGTGGCTCACGCCTGTAAACCTAGCACTCTGGGAGGCCAAGGCAGGCAGATCATTTGAGCTCAGGAGTTCAAGACCAGCCTGAGCAAGAGCAAAACCCCATCCCTACTAAAAATAGAAAGAAATTAACTAGCCAACTAAACATATATATAGAAAAAATTAGCCAGGCATGGTGGTGCATGCCTGTAATCCCAGCTACTCAGGAGGCTGAGGCAGAAGGATCGCTTGAGCTCAGGAGTTTGAGGTGGTTGTGAGCTAGGCTGATGCCATGGCATGCCACTCTAGCCCAGGCATGGCACTCTAGCCCAGGCAACACAGTGAGACTCTGTCTCAACAACAACAAAAAAGAATCTTTTAATGAAGATTAAATAATAAATGTAAAAGCACTCAAGGGCAGTGGCTGGCTCATAAGTAACTGTTGAGTAAATTTTAGCTGCTATAACACATTATCATCATCATTATTACTACTACACTATTATACCTAGTTAATCACTGATTCCTTTCAGCATCCCTAAGACGCCTTCCTTATCTTTTTTATTTAATCCAACATTCAAGCCATAAAGTATCTTGAAATCGTGTTTTTGGTTCCCTTCCCTTCCCCATTTATATATATATATATATATATACATATATATATATATATTATTAGTCGGCCAATTAATTTCTTTCTATATATAGTAGAGATGGGGTCTTGCTCTTGCTCAGGCTGGTTTCGAACTGACCTCGAGCAATCCGCCCGCCTCGGCCTCCCAGAGTGCTAGGATTACAGGCGTGAGCCACCCTGCACCCAGCCATGTAAACTGTATCTTAACGAAGCTATTTAAAAATACAAATCAAGACATAAAAACTGGGATGGAGGCTGGGCGCAGTGGCTCACGCCTGTAATCTTAGCACTCTGAGAGGCTGAAGCAGGAGGATCCCTTGAGGTCAGGAGTTTAAGAGCAAGACCCCATCCCTACTAAAAATAGAAAAAAAATTAGCCAGTCAACTAAAAATAGAAACAAAAAATTAGCCAGGCATGGTGACTCACGCCTGTAGTCCTAGTTACTCAGGAGGCTGAGGCAGGAGGTTGCTGTGAGCTAGGCTGACACCATAGCACCCTAGCCCAGGCAATAGAGTGAAACTGTTTTAAAAAAGAAAAAAAAAAGACAGACTGGCAGATTTGCAAGAAAGGTTCTGGATTCAGATAGCAAAAGTGGACCTGATAGTAAACACAGTGCTTCAGGTTCCAGAAGAAGTAAAGGTTTCTCTACCCTAGCACTCTAGGAATTAGGACTATAAATTAATTTTCCCATAGAGATGATTAATCTGTCTTCTGATCCTACTTCCTAAACTGCCACCCAAATCTTAAAGTTTATAACATCTTTAGAATAAACTGATTAAGTCCAACCTTCCCTTTCCCTAATCTTCAAATCTGCTGGGTTTAAGGATAAGAATCCTTCTTGTCACAATTTGGGGGAATTTCAGACAATCAAGCACACATATCTAGAAAAAATTGATGCGGGAGATAAAGATGAGGAGGCTGGAATCAAAGGTCACAGACTGGACATTTGAAATACTGCACAATGATATAAACAAAGTAGGACTGCTTTATTGAATTATATTTTTTATAAAATCAGACTTCCTATGAAAGTCATCTTCTATGGCATTCACTGCACATAAAATTTAATCATCTGATTACATTTAGGGGAATGCTGCGAATCCTAATGCACAGCCAAGGTCTAATGCAAATCACTTACTATCTATGCAACCTGGAGGAAGTTATTTCTCAGAATCTCAAATTTTTCTCAATTCTAAAATGAAGTAAAGGGATATATTCCACGTAAATCCTCAGCACTGTCCTTGATGCACTGTAAGAACAACACTGTTCTATTATAGTGAAAATGAAGATAATTTTGGTAGTTCATCACCCATAACTGATTTATAAAGGCCCAAAAAATAGTGTATAACTACTAAATAATTATCATACCTAATTATTATACTTAATGTATGTAAGTAAAGTGGCTAAAAAGAGGTCATAAGTGTATGAACTAGAAAGATATTCCAAGTATTAATCTAGGCCCCACCTCTTGTCACCGTAAAGAAATCGCCAAACCCTTCCAAAGTTTAATCGCCAATTCCAAGAGAGGATACAAAAGTTATAGGATCTGTTGACCAGATCCTATCAAATTTAATTCCAATCCAACAATAAAAGAACTGCTTGGGAACCATTAGCCTTTGAAGCCACTCGTTCCAGAAAAAGATGATTATTTTCGGCTTGCTATATAACTGTGCATTTCATGGACTAAAAAAACCAAAACCACCTCACCATTATTAGCAGAAATTTAGGATAGCTGTTTCTTTTTCTTTTGTTTTTTTTTGAGACAGAGTCTCACTTTGTTGCCCAGGCTAGAGTGAGTGCCATGGAGTCAGCCTAGCTCACAGCAACCTCAAACTCCTGGGCTCAAGCGATTCTGCTGCCTCAGCCTCCTGAGTAGCTGGAACTACAGGCATGCACCACCATGCCCGGCTAATTTTTTGTATATATATATTTTAGTTGGTCGATTAACTTCTTTCTATTTATAGTAGAGACGGGTCTCGCTCAGGCTGGTTTCGAACTCCTGACCTCGAGCAATCCGCCTGCCTCGGCCTCCCAGAGTGCTAGAATTATAGGCGTGAGCCACCATGCCCGGCCTAGGATAGCTGTTTCTTTATTCATCTTAAATCTTGAAAATTCAATATCAAAAGGCTATTTCGGGTCAGGCATGGTGGCTCACACCTGTAATCCCAGCACTCTGGGAGGCCAAGGTGGGAGGATCACTTGAGATCATGAGTTTGAGACCAGTCTGAGCAAGAGCTAGACTCAGTCTCTACTAAAAAAAAAAAAAAAAAAAAATAGAAAGAAATTAGCTGGACAACTGCCAATATATATAGAAAAAATTAGCTAGGCATGGTGGCAGATGCCTGTAGTCCCAGCTACTCAGAAGGCGGAGGCAAGATTGCTGAAACCCAGGAGTTTGAGGTTGCTGTGAGCTAGGCTGACGCCACGGCACTCTAGCCCAGGCAACAGAGTGAGACTCTTGTCTCAAAAAAAAAAAAAAGCTATTTCATTTTCATTTTAAATTACTATATTCTTCAGCTCAGCACTGCCCCCTTCCAGTCTTTGAACCAGTAGCCCAAGTGGAAGAGCTGTGTTAACTGGATGGATGAAAAAGTCACAGGCAGGCAAGCCAAAGTGTGTGACACAGACCAGACAACTCCAGCAGTCAGGGTGATAGTCGCTTCCTTTGGCTGAGTACTGCCATCGGCCAGAATCAAAGATAAGCACCGTGTGCATTACATAACCACAACGAACGAAAATATTATTACTCCCATTTTACAGAAAGGTTCAGGGGCTTAGAAGACGTAGCCAAGGTCATACATCCTGTCAGTGACGACGCCACGATTCAGACCCAGAGGTTTTCTGCTTGTTTTTTCCAGAGACCCAGCTCTTTCCAGTACACAGCTAGGCTCGCGCCCCTCCGGAGCGCTCCTTGGAAATGAAACCCTCACCCGCCCACCGGCACAAATCCACAGGTGCGCCTCAGGAGCCGCCTGCCGGGATACGGCCCAGCACGCCAAGGCCCGAACCGCTTCTCAGGCCGAGACCGCAGCCCCGTCGCCCCCGGTCCTCGACCCAGGCTGGAGGGTCGGCCCGCTCAATCCTTCCGACCCCAGTGCCCCATTGTTCCGGATCTCACTTACCTCGGAAGACGCTGGCGCAGGCCCTGCTGGAGCGCTCGTAGCAAGCTCCCGCCGGCCCAAAAAGCTAGGTCGGTGGCGGCAGGATCCGCGAAGGCGTACCCGGCGACTTCTCCGCCTACCCTCAGAAGCGGGAGCAGGCGGGGGCGCTTCGCCCTCCTCGCGAGACAGCAAAGACCCCAGCGGCTGCTTCGACCCCTGTGACGTAAAGCGCGCGTCACCAATGGCAGCTTGGGGGCGTGGCAGAGCGAAACCCCACCCACCCACCTCCCGGTGCGTCAAAACACAACACCCGCCTTTGTAACGCATGCGCCATAAACGGGCGCCCGCACTGGGGGCGGGGCCCAGCGCGCTCAGGCAGAGACCAATCCCTTCCCCCACCACTCTTTGCTCGGAATGAGGGTAATGTGACCCTAGGGGCAGAAACAACTACCACCACCGTTTTATTAATCGCCGGGGGTTACAGAGACACTAGCTTAACGTTCGCTCTTCTATCACCCGAAAAACACAATAACTAGCTCATTTAAACCTCACCAAACTCTAAAAGTTACTAAAATTATCTCTGGTGTATAGACAACGTATGTGCTACAGGGAGTCTCACCTTCGGTTGCATGGCTGGAAGTAACAGGGATTCGAAAGGGATCCAACACCAGAGGCCAAACAATATCCTACAAAGTCTTCAGAGAGAGATCCACTCCATTCTGGGGAGAAAGAGGATGATCTAATAGAACATGTTTTGGTCTGGGCTTACTCAAACATACATGGTTCTTCTGTTTTTCCCCTTCCTTCTCCCCAAAATCTGGATTAAAATCCTCAAATAATACATGAAATGTATAGAGAAAGAACGTCAGCCTAAAACCGTCCGTTGCCAGACTCTACCACTCAGGCCTCAAACGTGAGCGCAGCAGACATTCCAGAACTGAACTTGGTGCGCTCGCGTACCAACTGCCGCCGTACTTCGGGCTATTCCACCCTTGCTGCGCTCTAAGCTCAGAACCGACTGGTACATTATGGCGGGTAACGTGTGCCACGTATTTCTTCTTAGAAGGATCATTCACACCAACAAACTACTGCGTTCTCAAAAGCTATACGTTTCTTGAAGAACGACTTAATTAACAAGGATTCCCACAATCATGTCACTATTATAAAAAAAATAGTGGGTGATATTCCTGTTTATGCCAAAGATGAACATACAAACGTCTAGCTATGTTATGTGGGAACAAATGCGGGCGGCAAACGACAATTCCTCAAGCGTTAGACGCCGGCCATAAGGTTTAAAACGTGGATTATTTTTCAAGTAAACTTTTAAATGCACACGACAGCACATAATCCTGCATTACTATTGCACTACAACTGGAAAGAAAGCCAGTGGAACAGGCACGCCTATCTCTCTAGGCGGGAAAAGGGAAAAAAACCCCAACTTTTAACGTATTTTCCCGTTTACTTCACCCCCTCCCTAAAAGGCGGGCTAGGCCCCCAAACACGTGACCCCGCCCCAACTCCGGGCGGAAGAGGCGGGCCAGACCGCTGAGACGCGCTCCTTGAAGCGAGTGGGCGGGCCTGCCCGCCAGGCTGAAAGATGGCTACGGCTGCCCGGCAGCCGCCGCCTGGGAGGTTACTCTAGGGCCCGCAGCTCCCGCCCGTTTCCCCGGACCGCCGCCACACGCTCCTTACCATGAAGCCAGTGAGCCGCCGCACCCTGGACTGGATCTATTCAGTGGTAGGTCCCGGGTCTAGCGGAGCTCGGGTGTCGGCTGTCTGGGCTCGCAGGCGGAAAGGCCCTCTTTCTTCAGCGCCGAGAAACTCCAAAATCCATTCCTAATTTAAGCATTTCAACCTCTCACCTCGACTCCGCCTCTTCCTGGAGGATACGATCTTCCGCTTCTTACGTAAGGGTTTCTGGGTGTATCCGCCTCTGGAAACTCATTTGTTCGAATTTGTCACTATAAATCCCACTTCAGCAATGGTACACAGTAACCTGACAGGGACGAGAGGAAGTACCAGCCACACTACAGTAATTTTTTTGCTTTTACTTCCCTCTTAGCGTTCTTTTTTTTTTTCAGTTGCTGCTTGCGATCGTTTTACTCTCTTGGGGATACGTCATCTATGCATCAACAGTTGCTGCAAGACGACTGCTAAGGAAGGAATACCCAGACAAAATCTTTGGAATGAATGAAAATTTGTAACAACTATGGATTTAATTCTAAAATACAGTTCATTTTCTCATGCTTATCTAACACATATGTAGATTTATAAATAAAATTCATAATACAAATTTTCCAGTTTTATTTCTGCATAGTCTTTTATAATAAGGAGTAAAATGAAAAGTTTTCAAATACTTAGAGATTTTAGTCTTTTACATTCTCATATGACAAAATTAAAAGCAACCTAGATTTGACAGCTTTTCAGTATCAGATTTCCAAGTTACTTTTTAAAAAATGCTTCAGAAAGCCTTTAAAACCATAGTGTGTGGAACTTCTGTTCTTGTATTTGTTTGTTGCAATATTTCATCCTGTTGCATACTGTGAGAAAAAAAAAATTATCATGTGACTAAATACTTTTATACATACTGTTTCAAAGTCAAGAATGGCCAGAAAAAGTAGGCGGTCTCTCATATCACATGTTTTGCATGTGCAGTTTTTATTTATTGTTAAATTATTTTTCCAAATTTCAAATTGTACAATGCTTGGGAAGAAATTTGACAACACATTTCTCAGAGTACACTTTATTAAAGCTACTTTTCCAGAAAATACATTCAGTACTTATGCTAATACAGGAACAAACTTGAGTTCATAAGCCTTTGAAATTTTTAAGTAATCTTCAATGATGCTGATCAGGGAATTCTTTCATTGGTGGAATTACTTCTCCAGTCTCCACAATTGTATCACCCTAGGAAAACAAAGATATATTTAGTAGAAAAATCTTAAGTCTGCAGAGGTGATGGTTCTTTCTGTTGCATGTTGGTCAGACCTCACATGGAAAAATCTAGTTGAGCTCTGGCATTCACTTCAAAAGAGACAAAGTAGAAGCTGTCTAAAAGTGAACAACAGTATTCAAAATCTTAAGATACAAGTAAATAGGAGAAATTTCACTCATAAACAAAATAATCAGAAAGGACATGAAAGTTGTGTTTTCCAAGTGATAAAAGGTTCTCCAAGTCTGGCGTCCCCAATCCCGGGGCCTCGGACCAGTATTGGTCTGCAGCCTGTTAGGAACCAGACTGTATAGCAGGGGCTGGGGGTAGGGGGGGGCATGTTTTGAAAACAAACGAAGCTTATTCTGTATTTACAGCGGCTCCCCATCACTCACATCACCACATAAGCTCCACCTCCTGTCAGATCTGCAGTAGCATGAGATTCTCTTAAGAGCATGAACCCTACTGTAAAATGTGCGTGCAAGGGATCTAGGTTGCTTGCTCCTTATGAGAATCTAATGCCTGATGATCTGAGGTGGAGCTGAAGGGGTGATGCTAGCACTGGGGAGCACCTACAAATACAGATTATCATTAGCAGAGAGGTTTGACTGCACAGAGACCATAATAAATCAATTGCTTGGAGACCCATATCAAAACTCTATCAGTAAGTGGCAAGTGACAATTAAGCTGCATCTAGTAGCAGGCTTTATAGTGGCAAGTAAGCATCTTCAATTGTAAAGCTGCATCTTGTGGCAGGCTTTATAGGAGCAAGTGAGTTGATGTACTTCAATTGTAGAGCTGTATCTGGTGGCAGGCTTTAAGTCAGAATCCAACACTTACATTAATCCACACATGGGCGGCCTGTATTTTATTTACCACTTCCATCCATGCCTCTTTCCCACACTGTGCACTTATCTCAGTCACAGTTTTGGTAAGCCACAAGCTAACCCTATCAAAAGTGAGTAAAAACCAAAAGTTGCTGGTAAGCTTCTTTGGAAGGGGGGAAAGACCCAACAATGAGACAGCAGAAGACTCTTAAGACTGCCAACAAAATAAAAGCTGCATTTAAAAGAAAATACCAAGAGTCCTACTTAAATTATGGTTCATTGCAACAGATGATTCACATTCTCCAAGCCCGCTTTGTATAACATGTGTTGACTGGCTATACAACGAAGCCATGAAACTTTCAAAACTGCTTCACCATGTGGAGACCAAGCACCCTGCATTAAAAGACAAGCCTTTGGAGACTTTCAAAAGAAAGATATAGAATAGATATAGAAAAGAATAGGGGCTCTCCAGGTCTGTTATGAGCCAAAAAAAATTTAAAAAAATAAAAAAAAAGTAAAGAAAAGAATAGGGGCAATTATTGAAGGCCACCACTTCATCTAATGTGTCTGCATTAAGAGCATCATTCTTAGTGGCTAACTACATTGCTAAAGCTAAGCAGCCCTTTACTACTGGTGAAGAGTTGATCCTGCTTACTGCTAAGGATGTTTGCCATGAACTTTTAGGAAAGACTCTGGTTCAAGAGGTGGCACGTGTTCCTCTTTTGGCTAGCATCATAACTGGATGAGTTGATGAAATAGCAGACGATATTGAGGTACAACTGTTACAGAGGATTAATGAGTCACTGTGGTACACAATCCAGGTTGGCAAGTCTACTGATGTTGACAACAAAACAACAATGCTCATCCTTTTGTGATACATTTTTCAGGAGGATGTGCATAAGGATATGTTATGTGCATTTTGTTGCCAACCAACACCACAGCTACAGATCTATTCAAGTCTTTGAATAATTACATATCAGGAAAATTAAATCGGTCATTTGATGTCAGTATATGCCAGATGGAATAGCTGCCATGACTGGACAGCTTTCCGGTTTCACTACTCGGGTCAAGGTGGCTGCTTCTGAATGTGATTCTACCCACTGTGTCATCCATTGAAAAATGCTGGCTAACTGAAAAAGGTCACCTGAACTAAACACCTTGCAGGATGTGATTAAAATTATCAACCACATTAAAGTACATGCCCTTAATTCACATCTGTTCACGCTGCTCTGTGAAGACTCAGAGCACACAAGTCTTCTCTTAAACACAGAAGTGAGATAGCTTTCTAAAGGTAAATCACTGGCCAGAGTTTCTGAGATACAAGAGCCGCTCCAGAGATTTCTTTTAGAAAAACAGTCACCACTGGCAGCACATTTCAGTGACATAGAATGGGTTGCAAAACTTGCTTACTTGTGTGACATATTCAACCTGCTCAATGAACTCAATCTGTCACTTCAGGGGAGAATGACAACTGTGTTCAAGTCGGCAGATAAAGTACTGCATTCAAAGCCAAACTGGAATTATAGGGATGATGAGTGAACATTGGCATTTTTAACATTAGCAGAGATTTTTAAAGAGACTAAGCCAGCTGGTGCATGATTATCTATCTTAGCTTTCAGAAGAGTCTGAACATTATTTCCCAACCACAAAAGACCTCCAAACTGGGAAGGAATGGATCCACAACCCATTTGTGAATAAGCCAATGAATCAACTTTGTCCGTGCTAGAAGAGAATCAACTGCTTGAGATCGCAAATGACAGTGGCCTTAAAAGTATGTTTGAGACAACTTCAAATCTCCATACGTTCTGGATTTAGGTCAAGGCAGAATATCCTGAGATTGCCACAAAAGCACTGAAAAGCCTGCTTCCATTTCCAACATCCCATCTTTGTGAAGCAGGGTTTTCTGCAGTGACAGCAACCAAAATGAGATTACAGGACATAAGCAACACAGTTCGGGTGTCACTATTTCCCATCACCCCAAATTGGACCGTCTAGGACAACAGACTCAGGGCTCCCATTGATTATGTATTATGTCGAGTTACATAACGATTTCATTATATATTACAATGTAGTAATAATAAAGTGCACAGTAAATGTAATGTGCTTGAATCATCCTGAAACCATCCCCACTTCCCCCCAGTCCATGGAAAAATTGTATTCCACGAAACCAGTCCCTGGTGCAAAAAGGTTGAGGACTACTGCTTGCAGTAAGAAAGGGATAATCTTTATTTTGCATGGCCCCAAGAAATAAATGCCCTAGAAAGAACCTGCAGGGAAAGATCTATAGTTCAATACAAGGAGGGGATATATTCCCAGTAACTGAATGATATATTCCCAGTAACTGAGCAACCATCAGTTTTCTATTGGGCTTATATAAGAACTTTGGCTGTGCAGCTGGTCCAGGTTATCCTTTCAAACCTAGAAATAGTGTGTGGTGGTCAAAAGGTAATGGGCTCTGAAACCAGAACCAAGTGGTGAGAATTTTGGAACCTCCAACTAACAAGCTGCATAATTTTAGGCAGATTACTTAGCTTCAGTTTCAGCCAGTTTTTTTTTTTTTGAGACAGAGTCTCACTCTGTTGCCCGGGCTACAGTGCCATAGTGTCAGCCTAGCTCACAGCAACCTCAAACTCCTGGGCTCAAGCAATCCTCCTGCCTCAGCCTCCTGAGCAACTGGGAGGGACTACAGGCATGCGCCACCATGCCCGGTAATATATATATATATATGTGTGTGTGTGTATATATATATTTATTTATTTATTTTTTTTTTAGTTGTCCAGCTAATTTGTTTCTATTTTTTTTTAGTAGATACAGGGTCTCACTCTTGCTCAGCCTGGTCTTGAACTCCTGAGCTCAAACAATCCTCCCGCCTTGGCCTCCCAGAGTGCTAGGATTATAGGCGTGAGCCACTGCACCCAGCCTCAGCCATGTGTTTAAGATAATATTAATAGATTCTGTCAGCCTGGCAGTCCTTGAATGACTGGATAGAACAGAATTATCCCCATTCCACATCTGCCATTCCCTAAGCTGGTACTGAGATTATCTGATGAAGAAATAAATTTGTATTATATTTAAGCCACTATACATTTGGGGGACAATTTGTTACCACAGCTAGCATTATCTTAACACAGAAATTAGAGCCTTGAAGTGGTACTATTGCTGCTGTAATGAAAACTGGTGCACTAGTTTAGTAGTCTGGTGGCAAAGATACAGGCACTGGAGGCTAAGAGATGGAAATAAAAGGCAGTGGCAAGCTATTTAACAAAAATGTTTCCTAAATACTTGGAAGCAGACTGCCTAATGAGCTTAAGGTTCAGGGAAAAGTAACTGAAAAAACAGTTATAGTACATGTTTAGATACTACTGGCTGCCTTGGGAATATACTTCAAGAAGCATTAGCTCAGGGAAGAAAATAGCTGATTTGAGAAAAAAAAATTAAAAATGGAGAGAATCTAAAAATAGGGGACCTTGTAGTATTGGAAAATCAAATTGCTTCTGAATCCCTGAACAGGAAGAGTTAACATGAGACTGAGCAACA